CTCTCTGGCAAATAAAACCAATTCCATTTTATTCATTTCGCTTGGTCCGCAAACTGATGGTCGCCAGTGTATAGTAAAAGTATATGTCCACATCTGTTTGCTTATTTGTTGACACACAAACTGCAAACCAAAGCAGAGTTTTATGCTTTAATTTTATTCTTTGCCAATGTTGTGTTGATGTTTAAACGAGCTGTCTGCAGATGGGAGAAAATGACACCCAGATCGTTTGTTTTTATGTTATCCTGCGTTTGATTTGAATGTTTTTACTCTAAAAAGAGACTGGTAGCACAAAACATACAGCCTTTACTTTATTTTATTCACTGCAATTAATATAATAGTATTTGGTAAGATATAATATTCTTTTTTACTTTTGTGTGCAAAATGTTACATTTATTTTAGACTCATATTTGTGGAGATCAAATATTTGCTTTGCTATTTTGTTTAAACATCATATTTTACTTGAACTTATTGTATTATAATATATATTTATGTATATAATTTAAATATTTTTCTCTTAACTAACTATGCTATGGCGCCTAAAGTCATTGAAGAATAATTAAATGAATGCTTTTAATTCGACTGAGTTGTCTGCAACTGGAACTGAGCTCATTTTTTGGAGTAAACAGTTAAAACAAACAAAAAGAATAACCGGCAAAAAAAAAACAATTGTTAGGTGAGCCGGCTAAGGCAACAAATTAATATAAGGCCATGACAACAATCGTGCGGCGAAAAAACAACAAATTTGAGCTTTACAAAGCGCAGGCGTCGCTGCCAATAAAATCCAGCCCACCTAACGCAATAATTTAGCAAACATAAAAATAACAAAATGAGTATAAAAAAAGACACATGCGGCGAAAACTAGCCCCGAAAATCGAATTGAAAATGCTCTAAAACTGATTGGAATATACAGATACCGATCAGTACCATTCAAAGTTAATTTAATGTTGGTCATTATTTAATGGCGATAAAAAGCCAATAAATTACAGTCTGAGCGTGAAAGTTGCTGCATTTATAACTTGTGTACTAATTTGAATACAAATTAAGTACAATATCGTTTAGATTTAAATAAATTAAATTTACATTTTACAACCCTTAACAAAACGACAAGTAATGTGTAGACATTCATTTGAAAGTGTTTATATACAAATGAAGCTGTAGCTTATTTAATTCGATGAGTGTTTTAAATAAAGAGGTCTAGAAATGCATTTTAATTTGGGTCAACTAAAGTTTTTCTATTGAAAACATAGATTTCTTCGGATAAAAAATTTAAATTTAAATTAAACTTTTTAAATAATTTTATTTATTTAAAAATATTACATTCCCTTGCAACAAATTAATTATATTTAATCAAAGTTATTTAAGGTTGGAAATACATAATTTTTTAGCTAGCCAATTTTTTGTGTTCAAGTTTGGTCAAAATAAATAAACTTTCTACACTTTTTAAACTTTTTTTTTTGTCTATGTATTTTAAATGTGTTTTATATTGTCGAATCTCAACTAAATTCTGCCCTCATTCCTGGGATAGTGAATAAATGGCAATATGTATTCATAACCCAAGTCAAACGTTGATTTTCGACTTGAACTTCGCTTTGCTTTGCTTTATTTTCCGCCTTCCTTTGTTGTTTGCCCTTTTTTTTGTGATCTCAGACACGTTCCACTCGCGATTGAAATTTAGTAGCCCGAAAAAAAAAATGTGTATAAAAAAGGAATAAAAAAATACAGCGAACTGCCGGTAATATAAGCCTCGAACAAGTTCTCGGGTAAATAATTAAATATGTATCTTGGCTTTTTATATTCGCTGGTTATTTGTGTATTTAGCCGGGCCATTCATTTACTGGCCTTGCCATTCCCAGTGATGCCAATTTGAGCAATTTACATAATTCCAGTCGCTGGGAATGGGTTTTGTGGCCCAATAGTAACTACTTTTAGACGTCATACGGCAGACGGCGGAAATTCACAGGCATTATTCAGTAATAACAATCCGCTTTCCACTTCTGAGCCGCTGATTTTCTTTTTAATTTTCAATTTAATGTAGCTGGCTTTCAGTTTAAGTGCGCTTAAATGAAATACGCAAACGTGAATTTGGTAAAGAACGTAAGAAATTTTAAATTTCAAGATATAGTTGATTTTAAATAAGAAAACACGAACTGAAATGCAAATGTAATAACTTTAAACTCAACTTACGAGATTTTAGTAAATGAAACTGTCTTTTAAAATGTACAGTGTTTGTTTTGCAAAAAAACAAATAAAATTTTCCTTAAAATAAGAATTAGGCTTATTTAAAAAGAACCAAGTGGAATGTGGATTATGGTCTGCAGGACAATTGTAAATCGTTATTATAGCGGTTAAAGCCAGTTCGGAGTTCAATGCTGTTGCAATATTTTTTAACAACTCATCCTTTTCTTTTTGGTATTCTATTAAAAATGTATTGATTTTTTATTCGACTTACTATAAGGCTTAGTATTTTTAAACAAAAAATGGGAATTTTTGAATTTTTTAAACTAAATCAAAAGGACGATTTTAATCTGTTTATATAGAGGTTAAAGCCAGTTCGGAGTTCATTGCTGTTGCATCGCATTGACAGCCACGCCCCAAAGAAAAAGGCAAAAGAAACGCGCAACTGAACTTTCGCAACCACCCTACCCCCTCCCCCACCGTCCACCTTAACCCCCCGGCAGCCGCCGCCGCTTAACCCTCAGCAGGCACAGCCACAACAACTGACCCACTCACTCGAGAATCCCTCTCTTTCCCGCCTGTCTGAGCTGCTTTTTATGGAAACCGGCTAAATTCCATTTGATTTGGAAGTTGGAAGTCGGGCCAAGAGCCAAAGCCTTGTCTTCTTGTCATCATTTCTTGCCTTGCCTTGCCTTTTCTTTTCTTTCTTTCTCTGCACGGGGAAAAAATATTCCCACATATTGGCCATACCAAAAATGCATTGCTGATCCATTAACATATTGCCATTCTTGGGCATTTCGTTGGTGGGATCTGAACTGGTTTTTTCTTAATATTTAAGAAAGTATGTGGTCTTTATCGTAACTGAGACTGTATATCTTAGCTTTTGGATTAAGAAGTTTTTTCTTATTAACAAAAATGTTACTTTTTTTTTGCAAGAAATAAGTACTATAAAAGCAGTCAAAAACCAACTAATTAATCTTATCTTTTGTTTAGTCTCCCTTTTTAAATAGCTAAGGTATATTTATCTTAATCTCTAGATTTAGAACCAAAAATATAGGGTTCTAAATCTATGTAAACTTGATTTGGCATACAAACTCTTGAAAGTTGAAAGAAAAACTTAAATAAGTTTAAGTTATTTAAAAACAGTATATATTCCGTAATGTATTTTAAAAATGTATATATTTTTTTTTAAGACTCTCTTGGGTTTATATTGTTTGATTCTAGGAATCTGGTGAGAGTTCTCTAACCTTTTAATTATTTAAACTTAAATTAAAGAACTTAAACATTATTTAATTTTTTCTTGATACTTGAAAATGCAAACTAAAACCTACTATTATAATTGAATAAATTCAAATTATTTAAAAACTGTATATATTCCTTTATGTATTTTTAAAATTTATACGGATTTTTCAGACCTCTATGGGTTTATATTTTCGGTTTTGAAAGAATTGTGAGAATTGTCTAGTTTTTTAGTTTCTTAAACCTATTTAAAAGGGTTTAAGTATTAGTTACATTTTTTTGTACTTGAGTAAGCAAACTTTACTTTCATAGAAACTTCTGGATGTGATAAACCATTTTTGTTCAGTGTACTGCAATTCACTCGACTGTCAAGGGCGTTGGGATTCTTTTTTAGCAGCTTACAATATCGTATGGATTAAATTGACAATATGTAAGCCCTCCAGGATATAATATTTATGTGTATTTTAAGTGCAATTAAAATAAACATAGATGCAATGCTGCGCTTACCTTACAACTTCCTGTGTCAACTGTTGCTGTTTGTTGTTTAATTCCTTGAAATTTGCACAGTTTTTATCAAATTTGCATTCAATAATAACAAAACAATAATAAAAAAAAGCCGCGCAAACAAACAAACAAACACACACACACACACACTCTAGCGCGTGAAACGAGTTTTATTTGCTGCACACACCACAACAACAACAACGACTGCGAAAAGGAAACCCCAATCAGCCAAGGATAAAATGCGATTTGCAATTAAATTCCGTCGCTCCGCCCGCATCGTGGGCACTCTCTTTTTCCTCAGTGTAAGTAGAAGGCAACAGGCACGCCGTTCGGAAAAAAAGAAAAGAAAACAAGACACGGAGAGTTGGGCGCAAAAAAAAAGGTAAATAAACGCACGAAACGCCGCCGTCGATGCGTTGTCTTTCGAAAGCCCGATTGGTGTGACCGTAGCTCAATTAATTATTTACACCGCTTGGGGTCATCCCGGAACTATCGAATGTACCGTCGATAACTATCGAAACGAAAATCGATTGCCTGATAATTTAATTATGCTTATTAATATCATTTTTTTAAAGACAATCCCTAGCAGTAAATACGTGTTTCAATATTTTTAAAACTAATTAAATTTTTAATTTTAAATTTTTAATACTAATTAAAGACCAATTCATGTTTGGTCATTTATTTTTAGCAAAATACATTTACTTCTTAGTATTAATAAGTTAATTTTAAAGTATAATAAGCTGCTCGTTCATTTTTCTTCATTAAACTAGATGTTACATTTGTAGTGGGTTCAAATATACGTGATAATCAAGTTGTAAATACTTTCTTAAATAAATAGAGAAAACTTGTTCAGTGCAAATTTCTAAATATAAATAGTGTGGACAAAACCCGTGGTTGGAAACTCTGGAAACTAAAAAAACAGGCGCGCTTTTAAAATGATTGTATACATTATAACTCAAATGAAAATACCATTATTAAATAAGCTTGATAAAAAAATATCGTTAGCAAGATAAATGTTTTCGTTATATTTCTGCTTGTGCAAAAAAAGCAATTGCGCTTTCAACACTGAGACCAGTGTGAATTAACACTTATTCAACTTCAAAAAAGATAACGTTTTCACATCACTAAGAAGTACTGATAAAAAGTTATATTTTTATTTTTTTCGCTTACTTTAAACGTTTAAAGAAAGTAATCTGAAAAATGCCGGTGAGTAAGAAGTCACCAATATACTCGGAGAATAAAAATATAATACACAGTTGGATGACTAATTAATGACCAAATAAAAATTATTTTTATAACCCATATTTTTGTTTACATGAGACGTGAAGGCCTTTCACTCGGAGATTGAGGATTTCCAAGGATTGGTGGGTAATATGGCCATTTTACCATTGCGTACACAAATCCGAGGACCAGCGCCCAACGTTGATATTCCCAACGATATCATCGATGAGTCACTGTACTTCTGGAAGTCGAACATTTTCTTCCGCAATTACGAAGTTAAGGTTGGTAACTACTAAAATATGAAATATAAAAAATATATTTAGAATACAGTTTAAACTTAAAAAAATCAGCACAAAATCTTAAACATTTCAAAGAAATGATTATTATTTAGGGCAGTGTGAATACAGCTATGTAAAAGTAAATATTATGATGATAAATCCGAAAGGCGTGTTATCTCACAACACCAAAGCCCGTGTCGGAATGTTGTCACAATAAACTAAATTGCTAAGTTTATTTTATAAAATATTTTTTAAATACCCTTTTTTTCTTAGCTATTTTTTATTTTAACGGTTAAAAGTTTTTATTAAAGTTAACATAGTAAACAAGAATATGTTGTCTTGCAGTAACGTAGTTTTTAAATATAATTTTGAAACTAATAATTCTGAACAACTATTCGACAATTTTATTTGATTTCTATATAACAAAATATTAATACTTTACTGATACTTATGGTTAATGAATTATTTTAAGACCCTCAATTTTTATGAAAGTAAGCATGGTAAACATGAAAATTTTACCTTGCAGTAAAATGTAATAACATTTTTTTTTTATGCATTCAATTTAATTTCCATATTAACATAATTTTAAATATTTTACTTAATACGTGTGACTAATGAACCATTTTAAATCCCCCATTTTTCGAAATTTTTTACGATTACAACTTAAAATGTTATTATTTTGTGTCCCTCTAACTACGAACTACTATAAACCAATTTACCATATCTAATCGCAGTCGGAAGTGGACCGGGTGCTTATCTACATAACGCTGTACATAACCGAATGCTTGAAGCGTCTGGCCCGCTGCTCGAGCAAAGCGCAGGGTCAGCAGGAGCTGCATAGCCTGGCCATCTCGCGGTTCGACTTACCCGGCGATCCCGGATTCCCCCTGAACGCCATATACACCAAGCCCGACGATCCGGAGCAGATGCGTCAGTACTTCCTGCAACTGCGCCACGAAACCGGATCGCGACTGCTGGAGAAGGTGTTCGATACGCCGGACGGCAAGCCCAGCAAGTGGTGGATATGCTTCGCCAAGAAGAAGTTCATGGAGAAGAGTCTCTCGGGACCGGGAATGTAGAAAAATTCACCATTTAACGCCCTTTTTTTTGTACTGTGCACTGGTAAAGGATAAAAGGATTTCAATGCATTTAAATATTTAAATTTTGTTTTTGGAAGAATTTTTTTTTATATTTGCAAAAAAAATTTAGTTTTAGTATTTTATTTCACTATTTTTGTAATAGGTTTTAATATCTGAAAATGTAAATTAAATTAAAACCATACTCAACTTTAATATAATGCATTTAAAACAAATGGGAACCATTTTTAATTAAAATTTGTTCACATGAATTCTAAAATTATAGAATTTTGTATATTACTTAAATATAAAATATAAAATGTTGTATTCAAAAGCCAGATATTTATTATCAGTGTAAACATTTTAATCTTCTCACTAAACCAAGAAAATACTGCCGATTTTGAGAAATATATAACGAAAACAATATATGTATAACTCTGCTGTAAATGCTAAAAATAAATAAACAATGAAAATATTTAATTTTAGTTTTGGAATCAAAAACAATTTATTGTGGTTTTTTTTTTTAATGATTTGTACGCTTTTAAAAGCACACACATTTTTACATTTAAGGCAAACTTAATGGCTAGTAGCGGTATTAAACATTGTTGCTAAAAGCTAATAAATACTTTATATAAATCTTACAATATTTATAAAATCGATAAAAAGCATTTTAAACATATTATTTTAACGATAACTATTTTTAATTTCTCTGAAACAATCAAGGACAGAGATGGGTAATCAATTATTAAAAAGTTTTTTTTTAGCAGATCATTTTCTTTTATAATTCTGCTTTTTTGATGTTGAATGATAATAAACATTTTTATAGATACATACAAATGCACAGCTTAAGACTACCAACAAAAAAAAAATTGAAGAAAAAAAATACACGATATAGGGATAAAGCTTAGAGTAGAGCACGGCAATGCATTCACATACAGTTTAACAGGAATGACAGCATTATTTACACAAAACATAATACTTGCTAGCGACGTAAGCCTACTTAAACTCCTTGACAATCTCCACGATGCTCTGGTAGGTCCCCGTGACGATTCCCAAAACAGCCACCGTCAGGATGAGGATGTTCTTGATGTAGGACCACGCCCCCAGAGCCTTGGGCACCGGCGCCCTTGTCACAAAGTCGATCAGCACCGGAATCACGAAGGCCAGACTGGTGGAGCACAGTGCACCGATCAGCGAGATGAACAGATTTAGTTTGGGAACGACCAGCGCAACGCCAACTAAAAAAGTGTTAGAAAATGGCTTAAAATCGGGTTGTTCTAACTGAGGTTTGTACATGAAAATAATCTCAAAATATACTATTCATAATTATCATTCACAATTCTTTAAATCTTTAAAATCAACTCAAATGGGAGTTTACAAAGCGGTTAATATCGTCTTTGATATAATTCAGATTTATGCGACAAATAATCTCTAAGGATATAATGCATAATTATCAATATTATTGTGAATTAAATTCTTTTAATTCGGAACACCAACTTACACGTCATCATCACCATAGCAAATCGCAGGCACACCTGCATGGTAATGGGATACTTTTGAGCACAATCGTTGGATCGCTTGAGTGGGGGCCACAAGATCTTTATCATCACAAAGAATTGGATGGGATAGCCCAGGAAAACGCCCAAGGCTGCCACCACTTTAACCACCTGGGAAAACCTGCAATAAGATCGACAATTATTGAAAGATATTAACAAATTTAGGACATCGAACACGGCAATGAATTAAAATCAAAGCGAAAAATATTGAAATAAAATAAATATAAATAGGATTTTTTTCTTACGATTGTAACTGTATTAAAAATACAAGTTGCACAAGCTTGTTACATTTTTGACTTGCACTACTTACACTTCCTCCACCACCAGATTGAGTGTTATGCTGCCGGCGACATCCTCGCCCCATCGCACGTAGCTAACGAATCCGGTGAAAATGAACAGGGACGTGGTGAAGAACATCGTGGAGTTGAGCACTCCGAACCGGGTGCTGAAGTTCTCCGGCCGGCGCATTGAGTTGCGGAGCGGCAGGATCAAGGCGATGCCCTCGTAGGAGAAGAGGGCGGTGCCGAAGAACAGGGACAACTGGGCCCCGCCGGTGAAGAGGTTCCTATCGCCCACCGGAGGCATCGGTCCGTCCGAGAATGCAATGGTCAGGGTGGCGATCAGTCCGAAAAGCAGCGCCACATTGGCGAACAGCGACACCGGCGAGATGTACTTCAGGTTGGTCATCAGCGACGGAATCATGGCCGGCAACAGAGTGATCAGCATCACCATGCTCATGCCAATATCGATGCCATTCTGCTGGAGGACCTGCAAACAATCATTTCGTGGGTTTTACCATCAAATTCGGCATTTTTTTTGTGAAAAAAGGATAACTACATTGATCCCTTTTTCCGTAAGCGTATCGTCACTCACCTGGTGAAGGTTCTCCGTGATGAAAACGAAGTAGATGGCACAGAAACCGAACTGGGTGACACAGAGGAACATTTCGACGATGAGCTTCATGACCCTTGACATTTTGCGCAGGGGGCGTGGCCCGTACTCGAAGCACTTCTCCACCGTTTCCGGATAGTCGAGGAAGTCGACGCCCGGCGTCCGTTCGACGGCCGAAACGGATCCGCGGATGAGCATGCGTTCGCAGTGGACGCACATCACGGCGATGATGGGCAGCAGGATGGTGGCGCCGGCCAATCCTCCGTTTTTAAAGCAATCGCCCATGGCGAACAGTCCGGCGCCCACGCTGCCCTTGAAAAGATGGGTGGCCGCCTCCAGTTCGCTGGTCTCGTGGCCACGTCGACGCACCGGATCCCCGTTCTCGGGATCGCCACTTTTATCCAGATCTTGTCCCTTCTCCGGACTCTTCTCCTGCTTCTCCTGCCTCCCGGTTATTTCCAGTGTTCTTCCCATTTCGCCGGCTGCTTCGATCGCTTTTTGATCGCTGCGCTGCTGCTGCTGCTGCTGTGGGTTAAATGCAAAATTTTCAGTCAGTTTGAGGTTTTCGGCTTCTCTTTTCCCAAAATAAGCTTTAACGGGTTTAAACGAACAGATAAAGAACGAAAATCATGCACAGTTAGCATTCCCTTTATTCTAACTGCAGCTTCTTTGTCTCTCTTTTTCTGCCTCATCTTATGACTTAACCCTAGAAAGTCCACAGCCGCTGCACCGTTTACAACCAGCTCTATATGTTTAGGTGCAAGGAGCGAAAATAAAGCAATGTTTGCATTCCCTTTACTTTATCTGCAGTTTCTTTGTATCTCTTTTTCTGACCCATCTCATGCCTATACAATAGAAAGCCCACAGCCGCTGCACCGTTTACAACCAGGCTATTTTTATTTATCCAAGTTAAAAAGCATCTTTAAATTTTAACCCAAAAAAGTTGACGTGTTCAATCATATTCTTTTTTTTCTTTTAATTCTAATAATACTCGAACCTAATTAATATTTAATGAAATAATTTAATTACCTAATTAAATAGTTTTTTAATTTATTTAATATTGTATTTAAAACAATTTTCAATGCAATTCAATTACACAACTTAAAAAACCCATATAATAGCAAATTTTATAGATTTTAGAGGGAAATAAACGAGAGTTATGGGCAACAATACACTTATTTTTTAAGTATTCAGTTTATTCTGCAGTGTACTTATGCAAATATATCTGTGTGCGCTGTACTTTAAGCATTCAATAACATAAGGCCTACCATTTCATTCATAACAATAAAAAACGCTGTCGCATGTTAATGGATTGACCATTGGCAACATGTTAATTAAGTCGAATAAAGCGTTGAATCAATAAATAAGTTAAATTCATTATAATTCACATCGCTCTTAGACTAGTTCATGTCAATGTCAGACTTTTTGTTTGCAGAATCTAACATACGTGGTTAAAAAGCTTTTTTTTATTATTATATAAAAATTACCGATTTTCTAACAAAAGAATTTTTCACAGACTAATTTTTAAAAACAAAAACTAAAAACTTAGTAAAATAGACAGTTTAAGGTATGTATATTTAAAAAATTGCTGCCCTGTCTTTATTCAAAAGTTTCAATGTACAACAAGTGTTAAAGGCATTACAATACTTAAAAATAAGAACCCTTTAGCATTTGCAATTTACGACTTTTTAGACTAATTTGAATATCCATAAGTTGTTTCACACACTCAAAATAAAAACTTATTTTTATTTTATATATAACACTTTTAGCAACCGGAAAGTTGGAAATTAACCCCATCAAGGCCAAACACTCAATTATTCACAATTTGTGTGGAGTTATGCATATTTTTTCTTTTTCTTGTAACTAATCAGACACAACGGCGCAATTGGTCATTAAAGTTTAAACAGATTCCGTAGCATTAATTATAGTTAGCCGACAACCGATAACCGAAACGTATTAAATATCTAAATGTATTTATTCAGGCGACCAGCGATGTTCACCTGTTGATATCGGCTAGTAAGTACCGCTGTGGTATCGCCAAATAGCAAAATAGTATTAAAAATAGTACGAAATAGGACCGCTCACGGCAAGAACTCAAACCAGACTCAATGCTCGAGTTGGCCAACAGAAGCGAATAGCAAAAATTGCAAAAAGCTAAAGTCGAAAAGCGAAGAAAATAAATAGAAAAATAAAAAGCGGCCTGTGTGTCTGTGTGAGCAATGCAAAAATGCGCATAACGTTAACCCCCTGCACTCGTTTCAAAAAAAATATACCCCTCTTCCTGATTGCATTTCGAGTTAAAAAACGCTTTGGATTTTCCAATAACATGCTCATTTTATTAGCTTTTTAAAACCCGATTTCTTATCATCGGGTTGGGATGAAAAACTCAGGTGCACTGCAAAATTTGATGCTTAAAAGGAGATTGTAAAAAAAAAAATATATTTAATAAAAGCACATTTAAATATAAACAAAAACTGTAATTGCCAAAAAAAAAAAATTTTTTAATTTTAAATTTTAAAAAGCTAAGACAAAAATTTTTGAAGAATAGTAAAACCTTTTCTAATATATTTATATCTGTAATAGTAATTAAACAAGTTAGGTTATTTAAAAACTCAAAAACATAAGAACAAAATTTTATAAAAATTTTCTTTCTTTTCTTAAAATATTAAAATCTTAAAGTGTCTTGTAAAATGTTATCAATTAAATCATATTAATTAAGTCAGAAACATATTGTTTAGGTATGTCCCATGGCAAGTTGGGGTTAAGAAGCGTGGGAGAGTGAGGGAGTGTGAGATCTATTACGATCTGATTATCCACAATAATTTCGAAAGCTTTTGTAACTGGTGTAGCCGACTCAACGTGGTTACAAATAAATCACTTTCGCTCGAGGACTTGTCTCATTCTGAGTGGAAAATTACCATGGAAATGCATTGAACCGAAGGGAGGTGCAAAATAGCAGGCAGTCACTCATCGATAAACGATAAGATAAGCCTGGTTTCTTCATAGATCAATGATTAATTAAAAAGGTACTCAATGATTAATAAAGATCTCTAGATAAAAGTAATTTTAAATATTGCAAAGAGTTGCTGTAACATAGTTCCCTATTATAAAATTCCCACTATATTAACAAGGTAGACAAAAGAAAACATTAAAAGCAATTGAATGTTTAATGTACTTGAACCAATTTGTATGCCAAGCTCAACAAAAGTTGAGAAAAAATCCCCTTGAAGCCAATTTACTTTCTGAGAAAATACATATTGTAAAGATTAAAATCAGATTAACAAAATAAACAAAATTGTTAAATTAGCCAAACAGTTAATTGATGCAAATTATTTAAATTGAATAGTGCTCTTAATTAATGCAAATTAATTTTTTGGTTTTACCAGGAAAAATATAAAATGACTTTCTACAAAGCGTTGAATGATGTGTTCAAATCAATTATAATTTTTATTAATGTTTAATTGTTTATATAATTATGTTAATTATTGGAGCTCACTGGAAAAATCCGCTTTAAGTTTAACTCAATGTTTGTTTCTTTTAAACTAATTACCTTGGCTTATTTAATTATTATTATTAAATTAAAACCTAATGTAATTAAAATCGCTTAACAGATCAAAAATATGAAAATACCTGGTTCCAATGTAATTCATGGCTATCATATCTAAAACATCTTAACAGTAGTAACTAATTTGGTAATTATTATCTGTTGTCGTCATGCACTGCTAGCTTAGTTATTTACATTATAAAATTACATAAAAAGTGAGTGGAAATTAATTTTTTATTTTTTTGCGGCACGTGATTTAAGTGAGATAATTAATAATTATTTCGTTTATTTAAAGTAAAAAAACCTGCAGTCTATGATAAACAAATCATATATGTTGGCAATTGCTCGGTAGTCGACGTATACTTGAAAACATTACTTATTTTAAAAGAGAATTTAGTGAAAATAGCACAGCCAAAAGCTGACAATTCATATCGTTTTGTGTATTTCAACTTAAGTGATCTCTATTTATTTAAAGGTACTATTGCCGAGGAACATTTATGGGCAGTAAAAATGTTGTCATTCATCATAAAAAAGTTAGTTAATTTATTTATTTGCTCGCTGAAGGCTGTGCGAGTGTGTTTTTAAGAGTACAAAGTTGTATCCGTAACGCTGATTGCGTCATGGCATTGGGATTGGGTTCTCATGAAAAGAAAATGGTTGTTGTTCCGCCGGCAGGAAGTGGTTTGATCAGGTTCAAGGATCCCCCATACCCCCCGTTTTCCCTCGTTCCACCTGCCGGAATTCGACTCGAATTTTCGACTTGGTTTATTACACGGCACGTGCCCATCGCATCGAATTCTTGGGTGTAGCATGAATATTATTATACCTAGTATATATATGTAGCTTAAATGCAGCGCATTCGTGACCATTACACCTTTGCCTTAACCCCCGGCAGCCCCCTGGGGCCACTGAAGATGCACGGAAATTTACCGCCTTGATTGAAGAAGCGCCAGTTAAATGAATTGCACGGAATCAAAGTTCTCCGGTCGGTTGCTGCATCTCACTTCTTCCAATCAACCCATCGATAGATCGATCGATGTTTACGGAATTCAGCAATTGGATTATATAAGGGGTACTAAAAAACAAATGCATAACAAGCTGCAGGGGCGTCGTCATGGGTTAATATAACTCTACATAATAACAATAAAATTAAAGACTTTTTTTGTATTAAAGATAATTGAATATCTTTTAAGAACATATTTTTGAAAAAAAAATATATATATAATGGTGAAGAACATTTTATATTTTAGTTGTAATTTAAAAAATTTAATAGCTGAAAATTAATTTTCTTTAATCAGTTTGTGGTAAATTCTGATATAATATTAAGCTGGGTAGTAAAACAATGTTTATAATATATTCGTTTAATATTCTATTTTAATTGACCCCCTATTTGGTGCGCCACTGACTTCCGTCATGCATATCCAACGACATTGCCTGCAGTTCCATTCATCGTTCGAGTTGAAGGTCGTTCGCAAACGGTTTTGATTAGATTGATTTGGTTCGGATCGGATTAGATTAGTGTAATTCCCATACAGGGAGATAGAGCACGAGATATGTTTCCCGGTATGGTTTATAACCAGTTTCTTCCAGATGAAAGCGAAAGTTATCAAACGCTATCTATTAGAATACCGATTTATGGATTCTTTATAAACGGGGTCAATGTCAAAGCTAATTTGGTAAGTCAAATCGCTGCTAGATTAATTCAATTTGAGCGAACCCGTTCTGCCACTTGATTCGTAATCGGGCCATTTATTTTATAACTGCTTTTATTCCAACTTTTTTGGTAGCAAAAAAATCGGCAAATGATTTCTGATTCAGCACAAAAAATGGTAGTACTTAATATATTACTCAAATGGCTTATGTGGATTCCTTGAGAAGCGCAGAGAAGGGCACTCCTCTATGATTTCCAAATAATCATATTATATTTCCCCCAACAAATATTTCCCTCAAAAATCCATTTTAAACCAAAACATTGTTTTGTCTGGTCACTGCATAGACTTGAAAACCCAAAAAAACACATCTGTCAAGTTCTTGTCACTTTTTACGATGACGTCAAAACGAACGTCGCATCGTTTATTCTCACTTAGTGTCTATAAAAAAAAAATCAATTATAATAAGTAAAATGCGCTGCACGCTTACTTAGACACAAAAGGAGGCACTTAGATATACTATATATATGTATGTGTGTTTCTTTTGTTAATAATAAATTCGCCAAACATGTTATGTATTTATGTAAGTAATTAAGGATTAAAAGTAGGTACATATTATATTGCTTCATAATGTTTTCAATTGTGACATGTCGATAATACTCCTAAAATAGTGTAGCGATCCGTTAATTTTGCATAAATATTTTGGTAATCCTGTTAATATGGTTTGCTTTTCTATAATATCTAAATAAAGCTTTAATATTTCTGATGAGGTTTTGATATCGATGATCTTCTGATATTCCTGTAATGTTCGTCTCAGGTAACTTATTTTATTCCTCATATTTTTAAATTTTTATAATGAATTTATAGTGATCTTTTTATCCATGGGGGAATTGGAATTTTATCTAGGATGAGCCTCTGCCCTTTTTGTAATCTTTTATAAACAATGTAATGATTATCTAATGATCCATGACTTTTCCACATATGCCATTTTAGTAATTATCAAGTTTCCCATTCTCATCTCATCTAAAAGTGGTACTTTTAAAATTATTTCTTGTAACCTTGGCAAGATCAGCGATGATTCTTTGATGATCATAGTTTTAAAGGTTTATCCTTTGCGTTTTTAAAAAGTTGATGGCTTAAAAACGTAGTTTCTAACCAATCTTGGAAGATCCCTTAGCTGCTTTAAAGATGATACTGTTGTGATGAGTACTGCTTTTCTTGTGCTGCTTCGTTAATGGCGATCCTCAACGATTCTCAAGCGAAACCTAGTCCTCAGTGCAGCTCCTCCTCGCCAAAGTGCTTGACAATTTGCTTGAGACTCTCGTAGGAGCCGGTGAAGAAGCCCAGCATTGCCATCACCAGGATGACGAGGTTCTTGGCGCAAATCCAGACGCCTGGACCCTTGTTCTGTTCACTCCTGGCGATCAGCTCGATGACGGGCGGAAATACCAGGGCCAAAGCAGTCGAGCATAGAGCGCCGATCAGCGAGATAAAGAGTCCCAGGGCCGGGACCATTTCCGCGATGGCAACTGCAGGAGAACCTTTCAGATTTTCCATTTAAGATGGTCCCACAAGCCGGATACTTACGGGTCAGCAGGACCATAAAGGTGCGGAAGCCCAGCTCTCCGATCAGCGATCGTCCTTTGATGCCACACATTTGCTTGGCATTGGGCCACATTATCTGGATGGCCACGAAGAACTGCAGCGGATAGCCCAGAAGTACGCCAGTGGAGACCATCAGCTTGACGGCCTGGGCCAGACTGCGGATGGTTAAGAGTCTCATAGAATCATAGGGTGATCTAGGTCCAGGAACCCCCCGCTCCACTCACATGGTATCACCCAGATTGAGGGTCAGACTGCCTCCAACCTGTTCGCCCCACTTCATATAGCCCACGGATCCGGCGAACATGAACATGACGGAGACGAGGAACATGCCCACATTGAGCACACCCAAAGGTCGCTCGAACTGGTGCGGTTTTCGCATGGCGTTCTTCAGCGGCATCACCAACGCAATGCCCTCGAAGGCAAAGATGGCGGTGCCGAAGAAGAGGGCCAGCTGGGAGCCGTTCGTCCAGAGGGCGCGTTCCTCCACCTCCGGCAGTCCGTCCTTGAGGGCATAGTACAGGGTGATGGCCAGTCCGAGGATCATGCAAACGTTGGCAAACATCGACACGGGCGTCAGCCACTTGAGGTTCGTGATCAGCGAGCTGAGGAGCACGGGTACAAAGGCCAGCAGCATCACCAGATGGACATTCATGTCAATGTCGTAGGCTTGCAGGATCTTCAAAATTCCCAACATTGCATTTTCCGTTTTCCATTTTCCATTTTCCATTCTCACCCAGACTCAACTCACCTGCTTCAGATTCGTGCTGATGAACACAAAGTAGATGCAACAAAAGCCCAGCTGGGTGACACAAATGAAGATGTCCACCAGACGTCCCATCGTTCGCGACCAGCCCCTCAACTTCGGCGGACCATTCTCGAAGCACTGCTCCACCGTCTGCGCATAGTCCGCGCATACTGAGTCGCCCCTGAGATCCCGCATCTTCTTGGAACAGGTCACCAGGACGTGTTGGCAGTGGATGGAGACCACCGCTATCACCACAGTGAGAAGTGGAGCCACCAGCAGCCCTCCGTTCTTGAAGGCATCGCCCATGGCGAACAGCCCGGGTCCGATGTTGCCCTTGAACAGGTGCACGATCGTCTCCAGGTAGCTTGAATTACAGGAACAAAGTTCATCGTGGGATTTGGGGTTTTCTTTGGCAGCATTAACTGGATTAGGCGAATTACATATGCAGATTGAGGGATAGCAACTCTTGGACGATGTAATGTTAGTAGGACATTGTAGAAGAATTTTAGGTAAGGCTGGAACACGGGATCTTTTTAGGGGTTATATCCATAAGAGCATGTAGGTTTTAGGAATTCAGTTGTTAGTCATTTGAAGGAATTGGGTACGATCGTTTTCACATAGGTTAAGTTAAAATTACACATATCATCGTGGCATTTAGGGTTTAAGGGATATTGAGGAAAAGTAACTCCATGACAAAGTAATGTTGCACCAGTAGTTGGTTATAATAGGTGGATTTTAGGTAAAGTTGAAACATAGCATCACTATAAGGGTTATATCACAGGTAAAATCAGGATTGAAAAGGCTGGGGGAATAGGTAAAGCACTGATGACTTTTGCTTAAAGCTGGAACTAAGGATTTTCGTAAGGTGTTGATGTGTTGAATTGACTTTAGGAATATAGTTGTTGGTCATCATGAGGTATTGGGTTTTGGGGAGTAGTTGGATTACGGGTTTTCCGATGGTTGGTTTCTTGGCGAAGAACTGAAACCTATGTTTATTCCATGATGGGGTATCATTGGGATCGAGGTTAGTAGGTGAAATCCGCCGAGTTGCAAAATAAATACTGATCAATTGACTTGACGCTGGGGATTCGGGAGTGTTGTTGGGTTTAAATTGGTTAAAGCGTTGATTGCCGATAGTTTGCATAACAGGATGGTGGTTAATTCATAATAGTTGTCGTAGAAGAATACAGATTACAATCGTTGATAATATTTTGGTTGAACGATGTTAGTCAAAATTGTTACATTATTAGTTTATCCAAAACAAGTGGGTTTAGGTTAGTTAATTATGACAGGAATATATTGGAGTTGAGATAGGTGTTGTACCTCAATAAGAATTAAGGTGATCCATTTTAAGGTTGCTTTGAATTTGGTTAACATTTTCGATAGCTTAGAGATCAGTGGTTAGTAAGAGTACTGCTTAATTTAGTTTATTTGTTATTTGCAGGTTGTTGATTGGGTTGGGATTAATATGTTGGTTACGAGGAGCAAGCGGTTGTAGTATAGCATAGTTAGTTTGGGGATTTTCCACAAGCATCCATACCTTGTGGGCGGATGATACTCAGCATCGTGATCCTCTTTCTTGATGACCTTGGGTGCAGTTTCACCTGTCGCTCCTCCATCCACAGTTTCCTCTTTTGGAACTGTCGCAGTCTGATTTTTCTCTAGCTGTGCTGGCGCCTTTCGGTTTAGATTTAAAATTTAAATTTATTTAGTTGATAAAAATATATATAAATATAAATTAAAACTGATATTGAAGTCATATAAAAAATCGCCTATCGTGAGAAATTTTGCACGATTTCTTGGTAAAACGTTTTTAATTGATCGAGAAAAACGCAATCCTCTTAATTGTTTTCGCCTGTCAATCTCCATGATCAAGTTTAAAGACGCAGATCTTATCGGGGGAATCACAAATCAACACGTGCATATATTTAATTCCACATGACTGGAGAATTTAGTGCTGTAATTAAAACAATCAGGAATTTCCAACCCAGAGCGACAGATGGAAAAGTTCTCTCAATACCGATGATAAGAATGCCTATAGTTTTGGGATAGTTGGGGCCACAAACTAAATCAAAGCGAATTAAACGGATTCATAAAAGCCAAATACAAAGCAAATGAAGTGCTATCTTTATCTTTATCTATATATAGTGTCGGCTAGATAAGTGGCCTTTCGATGACACCTGAACGTCTGCCAACAGACCAACCGATATCTATGTCTATAGCACGTGTCCACCGCAAGCAATCGCAGTTCAATGGGTCTAATAGAATTTCGAAGATAAACCCTAAGCATTTTAACACTTAAGCATTCCCACTTGATTACTTTGTAGTATAAGTTTCAATTAGATTATAAGTTAAAGTAAAGTGCATACAATTAAATAAAAAATACTGAGCAATATGTATACACTTTTGATTCACTTAACTCTACTTCACTTATTGAAGATGATAAATTATATATTGGTGGGTCTAACTGAAAATCTTAGATAAGCCCAACGCATGTTAAAGTGTTACCATTGTCACTAGCTAACTTTATTGTTTAAGTTCCAATTAGATTATAAGTTTAAATACAATAAAACAATTTCTAAGCAATACTTTACTTATTGAAGATGATTAATTTTATATGTATGGCTATATTTTTTATTTGCCCTTATCTAAAATTGTAAATTTGCCTCGTTTAATAAATTTTCAAGCAATTCGTGCCATGTAACATAATCCTATCACGTTCCTGTGTTATTTATTTGATAGGTAACTGCTTTCCTGAATAGGAAAAACCCACGTTCATTCACTATATTCAACAAATGAACGATGACTTGCCATCAACAAATTATGACTGCAATACTGAACATATGAAGTATTAATTGGGATAGATGGCAAATGATTTATGGGCCACTTTGTCAGTTGCATTTCAAATGAAATTGTCGAAAGTGTCGAAAGCGTTTTTCAATCCTTGTTGCCAACTATATGGGACGATATAGTATCTATAGACGAGCTCAAGTGAATCTTAAGTGTCGTAAATAACAAGCTACTTATCGCCAAACTGATTTTACTTTCGCTCTGGAAATGCTAGTTTAGATTATCGTCCCACATGTGGTATACGCAATCTGCTGGAGGACATGGCGCCCTGACGTATACGTGATGTCTAAAAGGCTACTTCAGATATTTAATTGGACTAAAACCTTGTGTAAATCTAGACAATTATTTCCATTGCTTATCGGCAGCTAAAGTATTTGAGACAAGGTATGAATTGTTCTTGTCATACACTGCCCATAGAGTATTATGAATATAGAACAAAATACTTGAGGAAAAATATCAATTAACAAATAATGTATACAAAAAGCATTTCAAATGCTTAAATATTTTTTATAAGGTTGCTATAGAGTATTAAAAGAGGCGGTATTCTAAATATTGTATTTGTGTTCTGCTAATAATTAAATAGGAAAAAACTATAAAGGTTAGCCATGGGTATGGCAAAACCGGGGGGGGTTTGGTGGGGGGCGTATAGTACGAAGTATACCCTTGAAAATCTCCAACTTTAATCTAGACCAGACTTTTACCGTGGAAAAGCAGACTGGCATGTCGTCAATTGTTGACAGATAACATCAGATAGAACAGCCCTCAAGTGCGTGGTGGTCACCCCCCCTCCACCCACTGCCTTACCCACCGCCTTAGCCCATGGCAGCCCCCATTGGCAAACTGTCAACAGGGCCTCACTGATATATATCATTTCACTTCTGGTTTTTTATTAATTTTATTTTTGTGCTTCTTGAATTGAGCAACGTCTTTGAGTGGAAAATTTTCCACGGCTGATGGTCTGGACTGTTCTTGTCGCTTTTGTCGAGGGTTCACTGCACTTCGAGGCAACACAAAAAATGTTTAATTTCTCTTTTATTAATGTTGCCGGAAATCTGACAAGCGCAAAAGGAACCTTGATTGGCCTTTATTGGCAAAGCTTTTGTCCGCCGCACAAATGCATTGGAAAAAAAGATTCCACAAAACGTGATATATTTACTTTGAAGGCATCGAATGATTTTATTCTATTTATAAACAATAAAGTATTGCATTTCATATGAAAGGAAATAAAAAATGTATTTACTTCATTTCTATTTTATTTAAAAAAAGGCATTCTTAATATTTAATTTTTCAAAGATTTGTATGTGGAATTAAAGGCAATTTCGTAGATATTATGCATAGTCCCTTTAGACAACGTTTTAAGTGCACAGATAAAGATAGAAATAAATATAAAAAGGTGTTCGGTGTCTGACCCAAAACCAGTTCTAACCTTGATCAAGCCAATGCATAAAAGTGTGAGATTTTCATTTTCCATCATTTGCATTTTCAACGGCATAAAAAGATTGAATACCTGAGGCGCAACTAGGTAAAATGCAGGGGTGTGGCTTAAAGGGATTTTTACTGCCATAAATAATTGGTAATCTTTTATGAAAGATAAGTGACAGTAAAGCCATAAATCCAAGCCAAAAGATAAGCTGGAATTTCGCACTAATCAATGATTTCATTTAACGGAAGTTTATGTCAACATTAGGAGTATGGGCCATATAACGTATAGGTTGTGGAATTTTAATTAATGTTCCTCTAGAAACTTGCAGAGTTTTCTTAAGAATATAAATTATAATAATATTATAACAATTATTGATTTTTGAAAGATCAATTCATTCTTTTAATCTAAAATGGTTTAGAATTTTGATTCCGATTTTCTTAAATAATTTAATTTGTTAATATTATAGATCTCTAAATTATGAGTGTTTAGATATTTTTGTATGTTTATTGAAAATTTTCATTGTCACATATTTGAGCCCCCTTAAAAACCAAACTTCCTAGTCATTCACATCTTTTCAATGTTTATACAATTGTTTGCATACTTAATGAGTTTCAACGAATATTTTTATATTCGCATTCTATTGCTTTATTGCTGTTATTATGCCGGCTTATCGCTATTCCCTCCTGAAAAACTTTGCCAACAACTCTGTTTTAAGCAAAAATAAAAAATGCATTATCTATATTTGTTAATATTTTGTTTCTAATTTTGCACTTGAACTATTTTGTATTTACCAAAAGGAGTTTTGATTTTTATTTTTGATTTTTGCCTTTGAATTTGAGTTTTGTTGTTGTTTGACAACCGGCAAAATTAACTCGTTTTGTTGTGCGTCGTAATTATATTTTTGTTGCCTCTTTTTTGGTTCTTTTTTTCTTGGGGTTTCACTTTTGCGTTTTGGGTTTTCTTTTTTTAGGCATGTGTCTTAAATTTAACGATTGCAATTTAATTACACACCTCGGCATCCATGTTGTTATTGATGTTGCTGCTGTTGCTCTTAGTCTTTTTTGTTGTTGTTCACCCAGAAGTCGGTCAAAAATTAAGCAAAACCAAAGCAAATAAAAACAAAAAACAAAGAAAAAACAAACGTAATTTGCCTGTTCTTGATCTTAATGATTTATTTTCGTAGCCTGCATTTGGCTACCGATCTGCGTGAATGTCTTTTACTTTTCGAGGATGCGAATGCGGATAGGCTCTGGGATTTTTTAGCAATTGACGATCTGTTCACTGTGTGTTAATCGCTCCACGAAAAATTCAAGACTGACGACCGGCGACAATCGTTGGGTTATTCGGACTGGCCGCGCGAGTGGGAGTGAGATAGGTGCTGATACACTTGCAAAAAAATTTCCTACTTTGGTATTAGCTTTGTTAAAAATTCGAAAAAATTTATATCTCCTTGGTAAATAATTTTTGGTTCACACAATATATTTCTTTTGAATGCAAGGTCTTTAAAATAAATATTTTAAATATTAATAAATAGTAGATTTAATGACTTAAAATTTTTTTTAAATCTCGAAACCATTTATAGTTAAAGAACTATTATGCATCTTTCAAATAGCATTAATGTCTAATTTCTTATATACATAGATATTGTATTATTATGAATACTAATTTTAAAATAATTGATAGCTTGCGATATTTTTCCAAGTGTATAACGTGGGAGAGAGCATCTCTCTTTCCCCACCTCAGCCCTCTCGTTCGCTCCTTTGCTGGCTCATTGCAAAAGTATTCGACAGATGGAGTGCGAAAGAGATGGGCGACAAACAGGTTGTCGATCAGCTCTTTTAATTAAATTACCTAGTTCGAATAACGCGCTACAGGTGGCGGTGCCGCAAGTAAATGAAGTCAATTATTGAATGGAATGAATAAGCAAAATATAACGACTTAGTGCTTCCCCAATTGGGCGATAGATGGAGTCTAATGGGAAGATAAAAGAGCAGCCTCTTGGTTTAAAAACTTATAAAGAATTTTATTACTGATATTATTTTTTAATTTGCCTTTTATAAAAATGCTTATCAATAAATCCCTGGGGTAGGCCTCAACTAAAACAAAACCAAGATAAGTATCAGATATGCAATAACAAAATAAAATAATTTATTATCAATAAATAAACGCCATTTGGGGTTAACGGACCGTTTATTTTGTGCTTTATTATTATTGATTTGTATAAAATAAATAAAAGCAAAAGGCAAGGACGGTGACAGAATATAGCATTCCATTAATAAATGTACACAAGAAACAATTTCAACTTAATACAAAAATTATTATTTATAAGGCTTTATATTGTGTCAGATAATTTTGTGCTTAATTTTTTTTTAGCGATTTAAAAACTTTAATTTAAGTAATTTCTTATTCAGAATTAGGTATTTCCAGTGTAGATCACCTTCCATGGGATTCTATTGCGGAACACACGCCAACTATTTGAGCAGATCTCTCAATTGGAGACGGCGGCGACCTCAGAACTCAGAAAAGCGCCAGTAAGAATATGAGACCCTGTCCCTGGCCTTGAAAACAGATGCACAGCACTCACCCATGAGTCCATAGGCCCATAGATATATTCCTAGCCACCCCACAAGATCGAACATTGTCCCCTGATTTGGCATGATTCGCTTTTTCGTTGGATGGATGGGTGGAAATACTATAAAAAGATTCACATTTTGGGTCAGCCGACCCAATGACGAATACTCTCTAGCCAAAACGTGCGTGGATCGAAAGTCTATATATAAAATACTCTAACTAAATATAAACATGTTTTGCAATATGAGAGGTTTTAAATTGGAACACGTACTTTTATGTATTTTCTTACGAACAAAAATGAATTTTATAAATCATCATAAGAAATTGTAAGTCTTTTAAATTTAAATTATACTTTTGAATATTTTCTTAAGGATAATTCTGAATTATATAAATTTACGATAGGATTTGTGTAGTTTTATTATTTATTAAAATCGATTTATAATCGAAAATAAATTTAAATTTAATTGTGTAGAGTATTCAAATTTATGGATAATTTTTCCCTCTTTGATAGCTTATAATTTTAACGAAACAAAAAAAACATCAAAAAGAACAAATAAATTGTATTAGCTAGGAAGATAAATATGGAATGTTTTCATTTAAATGTCATCGAACTCCAGCTAATGGATTTTAATTATTTTCAGAATGAGCTGCAAAAAAGTTTTCACTTCTCGATATTTGTATCAATATAAGCTGGACTATTGTTTGAGGGTTGAACATTCAAATAGGTCTGCAAATACATTAGTATTTTAGAACTCTTTTTTTTTTAAAGCTTAATTTATTTTTAATTTAAACGTCAAAATTTTCCGCTATCGCGTGCCAAATTTTTAGAGGCCTCAAAAAACAAATTTATGAGGAAGCTATTTATTCTTTTTATGTTGGACTATAGCGCAATCCCTATGAAACTATTTTTGCGTTTGACATTTTTTTGTAGTCAAGAAAGCATTTATCTTTGATAACATTATTTAGGATATAGTTACGAACAAATTTGCAAGAATAAATCACAAAAGAATTTTAAACATAATAAGGTTGTTTTTCTCATTGTCAATGCCCACCAAAGTACAGTAGACTTTCGCTTTCTGCGTGGCGCAAACTTCAAAACTAAACTTCTTAAATAATCTAAAACAGGAAGTTCTGCTTCTGCAATATATAATATAATAATGTCTCTATATCTAGATATGTTTTGTGGAACTGCTGACATGCTTGGCTTCTGTTTAGATCGCAGAGTAAAAAGAAAACTTGCAATTAAAAAATGTTACTTTTATTTGTCTGTCTTTCCCCTACGACAGTGGCTTTTGTTTATATTATTTCAGTGGATTATTGTTATTAAAAGTCATACGGACAGTCCCCCTTTTTTTCGCTTGAGGCGTTTTCGAAGCGTTTTTGTCAATTGCCGTTGGCTTGTAGCTTGAAGCTTTAAACGTTTTTTAGTGACGCTCCAGTAAGTACGAATAACCAGAGAATATTATTGTCTTAGTGCTGGTAATTACCCAGTGACAGATAGACATACCTGATTTTTAAGGGCGGGGTCACCGCCCTCAGGGGAAAGTCACCAACAACAATAACAACAACTACAAGTCAAAAATAAAGTCGGCAGAAAATTATAAAAAAAAAATTTCAGATTTAATTGCAGAATGCGTAGAAAGTGAAAGATCTGAAGAGTCGGCTGTGGATTTAGACATTGTCACCATACCCGAAACGGAAATCTCGATCTCTTTACTCACTCTCTGACTAAATCAAGTCACTTTGCGCCATTGTCACAGTATTCGAAAGCGAAAACATAATCTATGATTTCCAGATGAACTACAACAATATTTATATTTAATAACCAATTTTGTAGAAATTTAAATTGTCAGATTCCAAAAAAATAATGTTATTTAAGGAACATTTACATTAAATAGTCACACATTATATGATAATTCTTTAACTGTTTTCAATTTGTGTTTTCAATGCAAAACAGATTTAATTTTATTTAAATTTGAGTAACATACTCTATAGATACAGTTAATAATTATTTCTCATTGATTTTGGTCCATTGTGAATGTTTTTTTCCCACAAACTTATGGCAGTTTTCCTTAAATTTATTGCCCTGTCAAGCCATTTCATTCCAATCCAGTCCAAACTCTGTTGGATAATGCGATGAGCCATCGAAATTAATTCTCGTCATTGCCAGCAATTTAATGTTTGCTTTTAGAGCCTGAGTCCCTCCTCCTCCTTCTCCGAAAGCCATCGCCCCTGGACAAGTTCGACCTGTTGGCCCACCTCCGGCGCCTGATCCTCCAGAAAGGCAAAAAGCAGTGTCGCCAAAGTGGGTCACCAGTGCCACAGCCACAGCCATAGCCACACACTACAAGTACAAATACCACATACAAATGACCTGGCCGAGATTGCCACCACATGCTGGCTCATCCGATCTGCTGGGATGCGTGCCTCCACAAAGCGGAATCACTGGGGAAGCACTCAAGCTCACCCAGTCGCACACTGAGAGAAAAGCACAGCGCTTTTCTCTAAAATGTCAACGAAAAACTTAAAATACCCTTTAGTCATACAACGAAATCGGTAACAATTATCTGTTGCTTTAAATAAATATATTAATTTCTTATAAATTATTACTAAGGCTTATGAAAAAAAAGCATATATTGATATGAAGTTAAAATAACTACTTGTGTATATCAAAAACCATTTATAAAATTCCTATTTGAAATTGTCATAATATTATTTTCAGTGTACTATTTTAAACAAGGAACGTTAAGTTTAGGGAAATCAGATAAAGTAAATAAATATTTGTTTGTGTATTGTCGTGAAGCTAATAATAAACACTAAACGGGGCAAATATAAAAATCCGCCCTTAAATGTTTTAATTATTTTACTATAGGGTTTTTTTCTGGGTGTAGGTATAATATTTTAAAATATTTTTAAAAAAGATTGACAAGCTCATATAAGATCAAGACTAAGAATCTCCCAGAGAGGTAACCATATTTTCTAAAGATTTTCCTTTTGATACTCCCGACTTCGTAATAATTTTTCCAGCTCTTAACCATTAACCCACAACCCAGCATCGGCATAGGTGATTAGATCGGCAATTTGGCATGGCTCGATAACTGTCGCAAGGCCAGTTGAAGAGTACTATAAGTACTATAAGTTGGTGGTTGGAAGTTACCAACGATCGGCGGCCAGAAGTTAGTGGCTCAAAAAGGCCCGGCTTTAATGTTCCGAAGGGGGAGGAGCAGGCGGCAGCGTTACGGGCCAAAAGCCAAGTGGCCAAAACTGCGATGGCGAAGCGGGGGTCTGTCTGTGCGACGGGGCTTTCTCCGTCACCGACCTGAGTTGCCTGAGTTGGCTGTGTTGGCTGCGTTGGCTGCGTTTTGCTGGCGACTTGGGGTTCGTTTCATTTGCCAACCAGCCGCGCAGCCAAACAGTCATAACCGCATCATAGTCGTCGCACCATAGTCGTCGCGGAGTAGTGGCGTGAGAATAAGACATGGGAAGTGAGCTGCCCGTTTTGCTTTTGATCGTGATCGATGTCCTGGTCTTGGTGGCGGCCATTGACTTTGGCTATCATCCGAGTGCCGAGGAGTTCGACAGCCTGTTGCGCACCCAGAACTGGGGTCGCCATCTTCTGCAGCGTCGCGTCCAAGAGCGTAGATTTGTGCCGCGCTATCAGCACCAGACCTCCATACGCTTCGAACCGCCCGAGTTGGACTTCCAGCTGTTCGATGGGGAGCATCATGATCGGCCAGGATCGCAGCCATATGTCTTTGAGTCCGTGGAGGATAGTCAGCCGTCGGCGGATCAGTTTCATGTGCAGAGTGAACTGCTGGAGATCAAGGAGCCGCAGCCGAAGCCGAAGCCCAATGCCACCACCACATTTCCCATATACTTCACGCACCCAACCACCGGCATTGTCTACGCCATTAGTCAGGTGGGCGGGGGTCAAAGTTCAGGTCCAATAGCAACCACCCAAAGTCGAAACGATAGCAATGGCATAGCCATTTATGTGACCAAGGCGCAATACGATGAGGATTTGGAGAGTTTGCGAAGGCAATATGAGAAGTACTGCCAATCCGGAACGGTTATATCCACCCTGAATGTAAACCCGGGAAACCAGGAAGTCGGAACCACCGCCAGACCTCAGATCATACGTTTGAAGAAGCCCAAAAATCCACTCAGTATCCACCAACCCAGCAACAAGTTGCCCAAGCCAAGTCATCGACCACCGCCTGTGATGGTCACCAGTGGACCCATCGATCATGTAAGCGATCAGCTGCTCAAGCTGACCACCAAACCCACCAAAACCACCAGCACCAGCACGCCAAGGCCAAATACGAGAAGAAAGAAGCGCAAGAAGAGACCAAAGAACAAGAATAAAGTGATTAAAAAGAGACCGGGTTATGGGGCGAACCACACTAGAGATCAGCCGAGACCATTGCCCATTTATTTGGGTAAGAGACCCAGTGGCAGCAGCTCTAGCACCACCAGCACCACTCGACCACCGCCGGCTTATACCCAATTGGAGAAACCACATATGCCACACGCCACTTTGCCCACCACCAATGTCTTCAGTCAGCATCTACTGCGAAATGGTGAAGAGCCAACGGAAGAAAGTGAAGAAACACTGGAAGAACAGGACGGCCATGAGACAGTTGAGCCTCTCAATCTCAGAAGACGCCGTTCGCTGGAAGATTTGGCAGGAGAACTAATGGAACCACCTCATCCAAGAAGATACTCTGCTTTAAAGACTGGAAACGAATTTGAAAGAGTAGTGAGAAGCGGAGAATTTAGAGGAGAGCTACGACGCTCTTTGAAGAATTCAAGAAAAGCTAATAAAGAAAGTGAAGAATCACTGGAAGAACAGCAGCCACTTAAGATGGTCGAACAACTAAATCTTAGAAGACGCCGTGAGCTAGAAGATTTGTCAGGAGAACTAATGGAACCACTTTATCCAAAAAGACACTCTTCTCTAAAGACACTTACAAAAATGGGAATATTTAAAAGTATTTTTAATAAGGCAAGAAAAGAATCTGAAAGAATAGTCAATAAAGGAGAATTTATAAGAGAACGACAACGTTCTTTGGAGAATTTCAGAAATGTGAAGAAAGAAAGTGATGCCTCTAAAACCTTGCACAGTAGACATCGTCGGTCCTTGGAGACCCCTAAAAAGTTGGGAACACAAAAATATGTAATACAAAAATCTATTGAGAAACTTATTGCAAATGAACCAGAAGAATTGCAAAAAGGAGCCAAAGAGCCGCAAAAAAAGACTAAAAAAGAATCACCAAAAGCTGTGTCAAAGGTGTCGCAAAACATATTATCAAAGGGATCCCAAAATGTGGTAGCCGCTCGACGGGTCAGTACGCCCAGAAGACGCTTCCCGAAGGGAAGTTCTAGAAAGCGAAAGACCAAACAAACACCACCAGAAACCACTCAGAAGAAAGAGAAGAATTCAGGAGGAGTGGCTCACATACCCATTGCCGTTCATCTGCTCCACAGAAATCATAGCCAAGATGAAATAAAAGTACCAGCCACGACCAATCAGAAAAAGAAAATCAAGAGTAAGGAACGCAAACGTGGAAGACCAGAGTTGCCAAGTTTCGATGTATTTGAACTGCTGTCCGATGGGGATTACGAGGATGAAGAGGAGGACAACGATGATGATGACTACTATTTTGATGGTGGTGAAAAGGAAAAGGATAAGGATAAGGATGATCTAGAGGAACCCACTCAAAGTGGCAGCACAGAGGCTCAGAGCTCGGATCTCAAAGAGGATAGCAGTTCCGCAGAGGAGGGCGCTGATTTTGGGGCCATGGTTGAGGAGGAAACCACGACGATATCCACCATGTCCAGCAGTGAGGAGGAGGACACCAAGAATTCAGTGGCCAAAAAGAAGAAGATACGCATCAAAAGGCGGCCCGAGAATTCTGATGAGGATTACGACGATGATGAGGATTCCGGCATAGGTGGCTTCTTTCGCATGATCTTCTATCCCGTCCAAGTGGCCATGTCGCGACTGATGGAGGGATTCGGTAGTGCCGACGAGGAGGAGGATGACAAGGAGCCGGCCAGTCCGCCCGTGTCCAAGTATCCCAGTTACACCCTCTATCACAGTGCCCACAGCAATGAGGCCTATGCCGAGGATGAGGACGGGGATGGGGATGGGGATGGGGATGAGGATTCAACTGATGACTCCTCCTCGCTGGGCAGCTGGTTTAGCTCCTGGTTTGGCCTGCAGCGACGCACCAAGAAGATCGGCAGCACCACCACCACCACTACCACGATGCCAGTGGCACCAGTACCACCACCCACCAAGGAGCCACCCGGCTGGCTGGAGTCCTGGTTTGGATTCGGCAAGACCACCACGGAGGCGGACGGCGAGGATGACTATGACAGTGAGTACCACAAAAAGGAGAACTAAATTCAGGGGGAAACCATTGAAAACTTTACATTTTTAGACTGCTGAAAAAACTTAGTAAATCCAGGTGTTTCATATCTAATTGCACCCCATTTTTTTCGATTGCGCTTTTTAGTTAGTTAACTTAGAAATTAAAAATTTTTAAAAAATTTTTGTAATTGATAAACAATTGGAAAAATAGGCTTGGGTTTGAAAATTTGTTGTTTGTTTTTTACAATGGACTTATAACAATTTCGAAATTAATAAATGACTTAGCACTTTACTCATAATTGTTTTTTGTAGTTAGAATATCATTCATTTTGTTTGCTGTAACAACTAAATACTATGCAATTAAAAGAAAACTTTGTAAAATTCTTTTTACTTGACTATTATTTAAGATGAAAAAGTTAACTTGCATTGATTTTACTAAATATTTTATATACACAAAATTATTCAAATATGAATTAATGGACTTACAAATTTTGATTTTTTTTTTTGTTTTAAAGACCTCATGCTTGATTAGTTTCGAAATCAAGAAATGACTTAACACTTTACTCATATATATTTTCTCTATTTAAAATTTCATTAATATTTGCAACAACATCTTTTCTATAATTACTATGCAATTAAAAGGGAACTTTGTAAATATCTTCTTATTTGAGTGGTTCACTTAATGGGGAGATTGGCTGAATGAGCAGGAAGATAAAAGGGAAAAGCCAGAAGAACGCGAACCCCACTGAATTAGCTAACGGTGCGGGTTCTCGTCTTCCTTCACGCTTTCTGCACCGCAACGATAAAAACCCACACAAGTCAGACCCAAAGACCCAAAGCCAATATGTGTGACTTTTCTCCGCAGAATGGTTTTCCAGCTGGTTCGATTCGAGGCCAAAACGGAAGGTCAGACGTCGTTCCACCACCTCCACGTCGACCACCTCGACCACAACCACGACCCACACCCCATCGGCGGCTCAAGTGCCCATCCTGACCATTGTGGATCCATTGCGAAATCCGCAAAATTGGATTGGCATACTGGCCCACCACATTGTCAATTCCACGGGCAATGCCATGGCCTCCACAACCACCAGTAATCCGCTGCTTCAGGCCCTGGCCACCCGGATGACCACCAGGGGCACCACCACTAGCACCACCACCTCCAGGCCGGAGGTTCCCCGCCGGATTAGCTACGATAAGTACCAGATCTGGCGTCTAAAGCCGCAGGATGAGGAGCAGGTTCGCGCCCTGGAGGAGTTCAAAAAGGGCGACGATGGAGTTAAGATGCACTGGCTCAAGGGACCCAGTCTCAGGTGGGTTTTCATTCCTTTCAAATTGACTTTGCCTATACACTGGTAAAAAAAACCTTACAATGTTTATTTAATTTAAAAATTGTTTCGCTTTGATTGCCTATTTTTAAAATTTATTTAAAGGTCTGAAAATTTAATTTATATTGAAACTACTTTTAACTTGAATAAATTGCACTTAAATCAAATGGAAACTTTTTTATATTTAATATTTGGCACATACAATTTCTTATATTGTTTAACTTAAATAATAACTATAAAGCTTTGAATTCAATAGTAAGATATTTATTTATACTGTTCCATTTTCTTATCAGTGTATAAAACATCATTGACATTCTATGAAATGTTTCCTAAATTTAGTGGTGTCAAAAGCAATTAGCAAAAAAAGTCAATAAATGGAAACTAGCTAAATTATTTTCAAGAACTTAATTCAGTAAAGCATGTTTACCTTATTTAAGTGTTGTAATAGCTACTACATTTTGTAGGCTGAGGTTACTAACGTTTTTTCGCATGTACGACAATGCTGCGACTTTCTCCAATCCTGTCTTTTTATTTACCCCAAACATATTTCCCTCTGTTTTGCAGAGGTCTCACCGATGTTCTGGTGCCCCCCAAAATGCTGGTGGACTTCCAGGGCACCCTGAACTACGAGGGCATCGCGCATGAAGTGCTCATCTTTGATGTGGGCAAGGCCATTGCCTACGAGCTGACCAAAGAGGATTACCTGCACACAACTCGACCCTCGAAGCCGCGACCCACTGTTCCGCCACCGATAACCTGGAACCGGTACCACAATCACGATGAGATCGTCAAGTATCTGGAAACGGTGCGCATGCGCCATCCACAGCTGGTCGAGCTCATCCACATTGGCCGCTCCTTCGAGGGACGTCCCCTGATTGTGGTGAAGATCGAGTCGAAGCAATCTGCGGCGATGGCGAACAGCGATGGTCTGCAGACGGTTAAGCGACCGAAACGGAAACGGAAGTCGGGCCAGGCCAATGCCGTGTTTGTCGAGGCCGGAGCCCAGGGATTGGCCTGGATCGGACCCGCCACAGCCACCTGGATGATAGCCGAGCTGCTGCGACTGATGAAGACAAACAGTGAGTGTTCTTTAATGCTTTGATTTACCAAAGATTTCGATTGTGTAAATATCAGGAATTTTATTGAAAGAAATTGTATTCTACTATTTTTTCTAATTTTAACTCTTAAGGAAAGCCCATTCAGCCTTGAACATTTTGAATAGTTTATTGAACCTGAAATTTAAAGCCTTAGATCATAGATCCTTCCACAGTCAGTCTCTCAAGTTAGTTCGTAGCTTTGTTTTGGCGTGGTTATTACATCATGCGGGCCAGCACGTCGCGCAGCCAAAGGACAATAGTGGGCGGCTGTTTCATCTCCGTGGGAATGGCGTATCGTCTAGCGTTTAGGAAAATGGCCCGACCCTCGCAGTCGGTGTAGCGTTGTTTTCGATGCGTGTGCAACTCCAGTTTGGCTCCGCACATTCGCCGACAGCCACCGCCATCGCTCGTCGCCTTCTTGCTTTTGGGTTTGCTCTGAGGACTGCTCTTCGCCTTGTTGAACAAGCTCTTGGGCTTGCTCTTGGCCGGCGACTTGGTGGACCTGTAGAAGGGGCATCCACCCTTGGCCCTGGAACGCCCTCGATCTCGGCCATAGCAGCCGGATCCAGTGCGGTTGGTCACCTGCGAAATGGCAAATGCCAGGAACAGCAAGCCAAAAACAATCGCCACTGCCACCTGAACGTTGCGCTCGGCGTTCTTCAGGTCCACGAGCAGTTGGACAACATGGTAGCCCAGAGTTATCCAAAATGTTATTGTGCAAATGGCAAAAAAGCTGGGGGAAGAGGATTTTAGGCGTTATTCAAGGTTGCATTCAGTGTTAAAAAAAAAGCGTAATAAATCCATAAATACTTAATTCGTTCTCAGCCATTGCAGTTTTTAGTAATTTGAAATATAAAAATATTCTTTTTTTTTAATATTCCATTTTACTATTTTCGGATTATTAAAATCGATCTTAAACATTTAATTTAAATACGGTCTAAATTTAAAAGAAGTTGCAATACTGCTGCACCGTTTATAACCAGTTACTGAGATAAGGAAATATGAATTTCGAAAATATAGCTACTCACACTAGCACGCCGAGTACCTCTAGTAGGAAGGTAATGAAGAAGTTCAGCTGATCGCTGCCGAAATTGACGCCTGAGGAACCGCGCTGTCCCGAGAAACCAGGTGGAGGTGGTGGACCCACTGGTCCGCGTTGGGCAGTGTTAAAGGGGCCATTGGCACGTCCCGATCCCGATCTCGATCCCGATCCCGATCCCGATCTCGAACCCCCCGGCACCAGCGGCAACATGAAGCTTCCCGGCGGAATGCCGTGGACCTCACTGCAACCGGCATCGCAGCCCGTGCCGTAACCACAGTCGTCGTCGCAGGAAATGCCCGGACCGCAACGGTCGTGGCTCATGGTGGCGCTGCCCAGGTGGATGGCAAAGCCCAGGGTGTCCCTGCCCACATGTCCTGCCGCCGGCTTATGATGCAGCTGCGCCCAGGCGGAGTGGCAGGCTCCGGCATTCTGCTGACTTTCCATCCGATTTCGGTCCTCATCATCGTCCTCGTCTTCACCCTCGTCGTAGACATAGCTATTCTTATCGTAATACGAATTGCTACCGAAATTGATGCCTCCTCCGGAGCTGGAGCACCGTCCATCTGGTCCAAAGCGCAAATTGCCCACCGTGGAGGTGGTTCGCGACGAGGTGCTGAACACCTCCGGCACCTCCACCGATATCCGTGGACTGTCCGAATCCCGGGGACCGGCGAATGCCATCAGATGTCCGTGCACTGCCGATCCCCGGGGACTGGCTGCCATGGAGTTAACCACTATCCCCGGCGGCACTTCCGAATCCTCCGACTGACCGGAATCTCTTTCATCTTGGGGCTGTACACCGGCTGGACCTTCGGCATTTGGATTTTCGGTGACCCGCAGGATTTGTGGAGCTTTTGTGAGGCGGGCAACTCTGTTTAAACGTCCACCCAAAAGTGAGGTAATGGTGGGTGACACTCGATGGGTCAGAACAGCTTCGCGATTAACCGACGATGATGATGCAGTGCGACCTCCTTCGTTCGAGGCCTTCGACTTGGGACGCAAGAAGTGACGCGATGACTTGCGCGGCCTTCGCCTCTCCATCGCCAAAAAGTTCTTATTTCTGGGGCTACGAATCTGTTGACTGACGACCTGACAAAGGGATAACTAATATGATATGAGTTGAGGTGGTCAGGTTACGTGGATCAGCTCAAAAGTTGACATTCTGGCCATGGGAAAACTTTGGAGTTGAAAACAATGTTTAAATGATTACACCTCAAAATTTTCATCATATTCCAAAGCCGTTTGATTATTGTCTATTTTTTTTGGATCACGAGCTTATTGGGTAGACATATTTCTCACCATTTTCCACATACAGAATATGTAGGGATTTCCCCTTAAGTTATTATTTTTATAACAAATCTTTGAAAATAATACTTAAAATACTGTGTAAATCCAACAGAGAGCAACGAGGATGTGGAGTTCATCAGGAACACCACGTGGTATATAATGCCAGTTCTAAATCCGGATGGATATGCCTACAGCCACGAGTACGATCGCTTTTGGAAGAAGTCGCGATCGCAGCACCAGGCACCGCCACCGAGTGGCCTCCTCGACTCGGCAATGACGTGGCTCCAGCAGAAACGAGGTCCGGACAAGGTCTGCCACGGCGTGGATCTGGACAGGAACTGGCTCTACCACTGGGGCAAGCGGGGCAGCTCCAAGTCGCCCTGCAACGAGTTCTACGCAGGTCCAGCGCCGTTTTCCGAACCGGAAACCAAGGCAGTATCCGAATTTCTGATGGACTACCGAACGCAGATCAAAGTATGTCTAGAAGAATACATGCTAAAACATATATATATAAAATACATATATGTATATAAATCTAGACTAACCAATTAATTTCAACACCAATATTATTTTTATATGCTTCCATAAAACAAAATTAAAACTGTTTTTTTTCGAGTTTAAAATTGTATATTTTTTTCATGCACAACTTTTTTTTAAAGTAGCAATATTTGTGGATTTTCTTGTTGGTCTTTTTTCAAAACAATTTTTCTGATCGATTTATTTATGTTATATATATAAAAACAAACATGTCATATTCATCACTCTTTCAGCTATATATATCGCTGCAGGCCTACGGCCAGGTGATTTCCTATCCGGTAAAGGCCAATTCCACTTTTAACTCCGAAAGGTTGGACGATTTTCTGGACGTGGCAATGGTAGGCACCGATGGATTGCGCAAGAAGGGCAGTAAATCTCGATACAAGGTCGATGCATCCAACGATCTGATTGAGCAGCGGTCGGGTGCGTATTATGTTTTAACTGTTATTAATATTAATAAAATCGTTCCTTATGAAATCATAAAATTGTCAATCGAATTGCGTTCACAGGAAAAAAATCGTAACGTTCGCTAAAAATCATAAAAATTAAAAATATAATTGGTCATAATATTATTTATTAAAATCGATCGAGGATAACAACGATAGTTTTGGCCAAGTTACAATAAAAGAACTCTTTAGAATTTTGGAAATAATAGTCAAAGGATGGAGTGTCATACATCGGTGAATTCGTCACTAAATTTCCAATCAAATGGCATTCACCGTTAAAAATTTTTTAATTTTTCAATTTTTCGCTAAAAATGATGATGTACCCCCTTATCAAAAATGCGAAAATTGGCCATAAAACAAAAATTTCAAAAATTCGATTTTTAAAAATCGGTTTTTGCATCAAAACAAGATAAGTTTCTATAAACCGATTGAGGATGGGTAGAATAGATTGCCAGCTGTACAAAACATTCACTCTTATGGCTATACGTCCAATTTTGACCAAGGTGCAACAAAAGGCCTACTTAGGATTTTAAGACACCTAAAATTAAACAAAAAACCCTGTGCTTCTACTTATCCCTTGTCTTCCTTGAATTTTGCAGGCTGTGCGGATGCCTTTGCCGCTTATGAAATCGGAATACCCTTCAGCTACACGCTCCAGCTGGCGGACAATGGAGTGCATGGCTACCTGCTGCCCAGCAGCGCCATCGAGCCGACGGCTCGCGATGCCTTCGAGATCATCAGCGGTATGCTGGACTACATTTAAATCTCCGCCTTGGGATATTCAATATAAATCGGGAGCGGCAGGGATTCGGGGGGATGGGCTACATGTGAGAGAGTTCTAGTTCCTTTATCGCGCTTTGGCGGCTTGCGTTCCGGAGATCACTTGCCACATTTCCGGAATACATTCTCCAATAATATTAGCTTATTCACATCTGCATTTTATGTATTCAAAATTTTTTTTTTATTACAGAAAATTACTTTAACTGAGATTTTAACGTATTATTGTTGTATTTATGTGTATTATAACTAAATATTATATCCTTTTTTTTTGGTAGTTGTAATCCTGCTTAGAATAAATAGTGTATTTAAAATAAAGTCTAATATTTGATCGAGCATTCGATTGCTTTGTTTTCGTTTATCATTTTGCATGGATACCATGTAGTGGACTATTTTCAACGGTTAGTATGCCTTAAGTTCAGTCGATAGATTCGCACGATCGTAGTATTATATTAGCATATAAACTAGAGTACATTTTGACCTCAATACTGTTATATCTGGTTATATAGCAAATTATAATTTGTTTATATAAATAGCTCATAAACATTTTATCGAATCAACTTTTAGCAACGAATTCGATTTACTTCTTATAATTATTGTTATTTTAACATTGGAATTGTTCACTACTAATTAAAATGGATTATTCACTCTTGGATCTCTCTGGATTATTATTTAAGTGTAAATTATGCTGCTTCAAAAACAAAATATTTGCATTAATATTTAAACTGAACATTTGCCAAAAACTTAAAATCCCACTTTGCAGTTTCAAATAAAGTAGTTTTTTCATTATACATTAATTATGGTTTTTACATGAATAATATTCCTTTTCGATATCGAAAATGATATTTAAATTAAACAGCAGCTAGTTTTTACATAAATAATTTTTGCTCTGGTTGAAAAACAAATTCCCTATGGTTTCATTACAAACTGATTATGGATTTTAAGCTGCGTTTGGTTTTGACACTTAAAATTATGTTTAAATTAAGCAGCAGCTAGTTTTTAAAGGAATAACTTAAATATTTGTTTCGTCTGTTGCTATATATCAAAATTCATAAGGATTTTCCTATTGGTAAGGTATAAAAATACCTTTTAATACCTTACAAATGCTTGCTTTTTCATAAGTAACTTAAATATTGGACTATGGTTTAGCTTTACAAGTTTCGTATGGGTATTTGTTTTGTTTAAGATACAAATGGAAATGAAGATGTAAGTACAACTGCTTTTTTTTGCATAGCTAACTTAAATATTCTTATATTCTTTAGTTTAACAGCAAATTCTACATGGTTTTTTTCTTTTGGAAAAGGTAAGTCAATATCTTTCCAATATAAATAATCGCCTGGCCTTGAGCTATATAACAAAATCCATGTTATAAATTAACTTATCAATTTAAATTTAATTAATTTTTTTTTTTTGGTAAAAAAAACAAAGATCATCAGACTGGCAGCATTTCAGGGGGCAAACTATGGGTTGCCGGAGCTGGAGACACCAAAATGGAGCTGTCGAAGGCACAATGGTGGTTCAGAATCCCGTCCTGCGGTCAGGCGAAACCCTGTGAGACCAGAATCCGGCCCGAAAGTTTGGCAAAGTTCGTGTGGCACTCGTTGCCGTGGAAATAGAGGCCGATGAGCAGCTTAAACTGGGCCGGTGACATGGGATACGGTTCCTGGGACATAACCACAATGGTATCAATGGCTTTGCCGGCCTTCTGCAGATCCAAATTGGTCAGGATTTCGCGGTAATTGACAAAGGAAGCCGAACATTTGGCAATGTGCCGCACCATTTTGTCCGTGGAGCACTGTTGCATCACCGGACGCAGTAGGGCGTCCAGGACCAGGGACTGCAAATCGAAGACGATCAAATCGGGACCGAAGGGCTCCGTGTTATCCTGCAGCTCCAGCATCCGATGCGGCATACTCTCCACATCCAGCTGCAAAATGGTCAGATTCTTGCTGCGATTCGGCGAATTCCATGGATATCGCTTCGCAATTCCCTGCTGGCGACTGGTGATCAGCAAAACGCGCTTCTCCTTCGAGGCAAAGCGTTCGCATAGCTATCGAAACACCAGCAAACAACAAACGAAATGCATCAAAAATCGTCTGCAAATCTGAAAAACTTACTCACCTTTGTCAAATTAAGGGCGTAGTCCTCGGTGCCCGTTAAATATATATAGTTATTTATGCAATCGCTTAAATTCATTCCTTGCCAAATGCTTAAAAACTAAGGGAATTCAAAATTTTTGGTTTTCACGAAAACTGAACACCAGTGTGACCAACTATTGTTTTCTAAATTATACTAGTTGGACAAAAGCCGCAACAAAAAACACCCGCTAAATAAAATAAGGTATTCGCACTTTTTGAGAGAATTTCATAATAATTAAAAAGGGTTAAATAAATTCTACAAAATTAATTTTTGAGAAAGTTTTTGAGGAATCTTTATAAGGGCGCAAATTTAAATTTTTAATTTTAAACTGGGATTTTCCATCACGCATATTGGCTCAGGAGTGGTTGAACGGATTTTATTGAAACATATGCCAAAATGAGTAGGTAATCTAGCGAATTTTTAATACAATCCTTATTTTATTTGAATAACAAACTAAATATTTATTAAAATAATTACTTCAAATTTGATGTTAATAGATTAACATATCCAGTAACTATCAATAGTTAATTTGGTTATTGTCTGGGATATATAGTGTTGACTCGCACCTATTTTATTTTGGTTGTTGATTTGGTTTACGTCTCGGCTAACATGAAATTGGCGCCTTGTTTAATAGCATTAATATGTTACCCAATATTAAGTGATCAAACATTTTGTAATAAAATCGGATCTAACAAAGGGTACATAGCCTTTTATATTCGGCACAAAACATTCATTTTGAGAGTTTTTATTTTAAATTACCGCCAACAATCTTTCTAAAACAAAAACTTAATTGGGCTCTACCGAATTTCTAAAGAAATGTTATAATAGACAATACACAAAAGTTTTTTTTGAAGATTTAAAACTTAAGAATAAAACACTCATTATTTTTGGAAATTTTCATCTTTATTTTTATTAAATACATTTCGTTTGTTGTTACGGTTTTAGTTTGTTAATTTCTTGTTACGTATTCGCTCTGTACTAATTGAATTAATCAGATATTTGGGTGCCGTTAATAGAGAGCGCCTCTAGTTGGAGTACAAGGTTCGGTTAGAGTAAGCCGGTTCATCGTCACTATCATCATCATTATCATTATCATTATCATGATCATCATCCGCATCCACCGATCTAAGTACATTTTTATACACAAAAAAACGGAAGCGATCGACACTCAGCCTGTTTGCACTATGACCTCTTCGATTGCAAAGTATAAACGGTGCCCGAGTGATGCGATTATCTTGGAATTTTGGTTGATTTATTGGTAGTTTGGTTGTTCAATTGTTTGTTTGGTTGGTTGTTTGGTTCTTTACTGCTACGGAAGCCTCAAAATACATTGCTATTTATGTCGCTTATGTATGTGGGTTTTTGCGGTATCTTACTGAAGTTGAAATCTTAGCTTAGAAATTGTATTGCAAATAAAATTATATCGTTTTGTTTACATCATATCTGTCGTGTCTGACGTGTTTATATTCCCGAATATTTACAAAAGCCGTTTACAAATAGGCGCAGCTTTCGCCAAAATGGATAACGGATTTCCGATTCGCTTAACTATGGACAAATCAGGGGGTTAACTTAGAGCTAAATTAGTCAAATCATAGATACATAACCGAGTTAAACGTATTCGTATTCGTATTCGTATTGCACTGCATCGGATTGCTTGAGTATTAGAAATTAGGCAACAATCAACATATCGAAAATAAGATATTCGCACGGAGATTCACATATATCATCTTCTGATCTGACTAGAATAATACTTTGGCACACACATATATAAACATAACTCTGGGTGAGGAGATACTGGAAATCAGTTGTATTGCTCGGCGGTACGAAGGTGGAACAGAAAACTGCCAGAAACAATAATTAGTTAATTAGCATCCTGCCTGACACTTGCTTCTCTCGGAACTGGAACCAAAAAACCATTGACTGCTCTTTAATATCGTGTATATATATAGATGTATATATAGAAATATAAATAGTAAGTATATATCATTTGTTAGCATATATATATATATATATATATATATATACATATATATTTTGCCCTTCGTCTGCTCTCAATTAGAAACTAACACTTAAACCAACATTTCATATGCGTTGCTATATCCTTGCCTCCTCCAATCATCCCTCCCTATCCGATCCGATCCGATCCGATCCCATTCGATTCGATTCGATACTTTAACCAAAAGCGCTTTGAGCGTTCTACTTCGCGTATCTCTGACCTACAGCTAAGACAAAAAAAATGACATCGCTCCTTGCTAAAGTTAGTTCTCATTTATATATATATATATATAGATATACATATTTTAGATTCTTTTTTTTGTTCGCTTTCTTTGTTTTGGTAACATAAAATTAATCAACAAATTTTTAGAGATGCTTGCTAAAACTTTTCTTAGTGTAAACGTGCCCTAAGCGATGCCCACTGGCCACCGCCAGCCACTGCCTTTTTTGTGCTTTCTTGCACTGTTACCAAAAGGATTAAAAACAGAAAACAACTTTTTAAAGTAGGAATAAAAATCTGAATGATAGGCCGATGCTGGGCGGTGAAAGTGGGCGAGTGTATGTGTGTGTGCTACGGAAAGTTGCATAAGTTTCGATCGCTATATGTGGGTGGTGTGTGCACAGTGTGTTTTCTACCGTTCGTTTCACTGCCAAACGGAATATGGCGCCCAACGCTATAGTTGCTTCGACTCTGCTGCTCTGTTCGGTGTAAACACATCTAAAAAACGCTGCTCCTGCATCTGTTTTCTGTTCTTTTTTTTTTTGGGATACCTTTCTAGATCTAGATCTAGCTTTAGCTCTAGCTCTAGCTCTAGCTCTAGCTCTAGCTCTAGCTCTAGCTCTAGCTCTAGCTCTAGCTCTAGCTCTAGCTCTAGCTCTAGCTCTAGCTCTAGCTCTAGCTCTAGCTCTAGCTCTAGCTCTGGCTCTGGCTCTAGCTCTGGCTCTGGCTCTAGCTCTGGCTCTAGCTCTGGCTCTGGCTCTGGCTCTGGCTCTGGCTCTGGCTCTAGCTCTGGCTCTAGCTCTGGCTCTGGCTCTGGCTCTAGCTCTAGCTCTAGGCTCTGGCTCTAGGCTCTAGCTCTGGCTCTGGCTCTGGCTCTGGCTCTGGCTCTGGCTCTAGCTCTAGCTCTAGCTCTAGCTCTAGCTCTAGCTCTAGCTCTAGCTCTAGCTCTAGCTCTAGCTCTAGCTCTAGCTCTAGCTCTAGCACTAGCTCAGCGCTATTCGTATTCTCGGGTCGTTTGTGTACTACGTTTTAGCAACTGTCCTCAAGTGCTTTTGTTATCCATACATGTATATATCGTCTTGCTTGTATATATATGCCTTCTATATAAATATCGTTTGTTGTTTTGTAATTTGCTGGTATTGTCTGAATGTGCTACATACTTTAAACGCTAAACTAGTTCGTGTGTCAGAGTGAGTGGGTGTGTTTTTTTTTTTTTTTTTTTTTTTTTGCTCGTTTGCTAGTAGACCGACATACAAAACTCGAGGCCGACAAAAAAAAAACATGAAAAAATTGCCATCTTCGTTTTACAACTATCGCATAATATAACTAGTGCATACATGTTCACATAGGTTCCTAAGTCCACTACACGCTATTAATATGTAATTCTGTTTGGTTCGCTCCCGTTGCCCGTTGCCCGTTCCCCACAGTTCCCCAAAGTTCCCCAAAGTTCCTCTTAGAGCAGCTGGGCGATGACCGGCTCGATCAGACACATGTGCTCGGCACCGCGCACTGGCAGCCGGTTGAGGCAGAAGTGCCGGATCATCTCCGGCACTGTCTCGAAGGGACGGCTGAACTGGCCCAGGATGTACTGACCGGTCTCGTTGCGCTGGATCCGCATATGCATGAAGCCCTTAGCGCCCCTAAAAGGGAAAGATCATTCATTCGTTTATAATAATGATTATGATTATGATCATTCTCAACTGCACTTACTTGAGGGACAACGAGTAGTCCTGCTTGGTGGACTCGCAGTTGCGCACCAGGAAGGAACCCTCGGACAGCGGACGAAGCGTGGTCTCCGCCTCAACTCGCGTAATAGCGCCATGGTACCAACTAAGAAGATAGAATAGAACCAGGAATAGAATATTTATTTATTTGTTATAAATGATTGTATAGTTTATGAAACTAAAGCATAGGAGGCCTTCGACTACGGATGTTTTGAAAAATAGTTACAAAATTTAAGTAGGACTACTAAATAAGTAAGGTACAAGGTTGTTGTGATAATAATAAGTAAATAAGTTAGTTAATAAGGTATAAGATACACCAACTCTTTTTTTGGTATCATTTTGGTTACATTTTTGTTATACAATTTGTAACTGTAATAGTATTATTATTGATATATTTGCGAAATTAACAAGAAATTAAATAGTGGTAACGAACTAATTTAAAAACAAAACAAAATAAAAATATTTCATTACCGAAATACCTAACAAACATACAAGTATTCTTAGGACAAATAATAATATAGCATAATGTAGTATGAAAGCCCCTAAGTTAAAACGAGCGTGTTCACAGTTCAAAAAACTTACCCCTGGCGCTCCAGAGGAATGGTCACATCGATTAGGTCCACCGCGGTGACATAGCCCTGGCCAAGGTTCATGTTCAGCTCCTTGTTGCTGCTGAGACCCCGCAGATCCAGGCTGCCAAACTGCTTGGTGGCCTGGCGCGACTCATTTAGGTTGAGGGTGAGGTTCTGCCGGAAAAGTGCTGTATCTATTTATGGGAAAAAACGTTGGTTGTTGGTGAAAACTAAGTTAAAGCAAACAAAGTCGTTTTTAAAAATAAATCTTAATTAACATAATATTTGAATTGATTATTTAATAAAACACTTAAGTGTAAGTACTGAACACAAATTTAGTGAAGAGTTCATTGAGTTCATTCATTTTATATGTCCACCAAAATTATGTATAATTTTGATAAAAAAAACCAAAATTTTGTAATGCTTTTTGGCTTTGTTAGAATTTGACTTGAAACCCGATTTTTAACAATATTTTAGAATATTTCCCATATTTTACACTCTTTTGAATTAAATGTAACTTAAAAGTATAGGGGTTATATTATTTAGTATTGAAATTTATTTTCAGAACACACTTTTTAAAACCAAACTCTCCGTTCAGTTCAACTCACCCAGCTTGCTGGCCAGCTTCTGATCGTCGCGCATGGAGTGGCTGGAGGAGGCCTGCGAGATGCCGCTGGACTCGGTGCTGTGCATCAGCAGGTTGTTGATCTCGGCCTGGTTGGCCCGGAGCCGGCGCCGCAGCTTGGGCATGTCGAAGGGCAGCTCGCCGAGATCGACGGAGGTGGCACTGCCCGAAGTGCAGGCGGCCTCCTGTTGCAACGTTTTGCGGCGTCGCAGCTTGGGCATGTCGAAGGGTAGGTCACGCAGATCCTGCGGTAAGCCAGCTGCAGTGCCTGTGGAACCCGATCCAGATACTCCTGCCGCTGAGGAGGCACCTCCTCCTCCTCCTCCTCCTGCTCCGCCTCCTGATCCTGATCCTCCACTGGAAGTGGCTGTGCCCTCGCTGGCGCCGATCAACTGCAGCTTGGGCAGCGTCAAACGCTGCAGGGCCAAAGTCTGCGGTTTGCCCTCCTCCCGCGAGTGCAACGATATGCCACTGTCTGAGCCAAGTAGCTCATCGGCCAGCTGGAGCAGGGCCTTGTTGGGAGCGGCCCGATTGCGCGGCTGCTTCAGGGAGACGACCACGGGATTGACCTGCAGTGTGCCTCCTGCACCGAGAAACAAAACAAGCACCATAGTAAAATTAAACGTTTAAATATTTCAATATAAATATAAACTTACTCGAAATAAACTAAAAACATGATATTGTATTTTTTAACATATTTAATTGGTTTGTTCAATGGGAAAATTGTGGATATTTAATTTGAAACTACATTTTTCCATACTTAAAAATAAAAAAAAATGAAAGTGTTAAACACTTTGATTCAAACACAAGGGGCTAAATCAGTACCGAAAATAACTTATTCAAAGTGAAAATATTTGGATTTACCATGATTTTTCTCTGCGTGTGCGGGTGCTCCACTCGAATCCTCCTCCTGCATGGCCATGGGCGCCTTCTGTTGTTGCTGCTGCTGCTGCTGCTGTGACTGCTGCTGCTGTGACTGCTCCGAGGAGGCACTGGCCGAGGCCGGCTCCTGCGAGGATTTGTCGGAAATGGGACTGAGGATGTGCAGCTTGGAGTGCTGCAGCAGCAGCGGCTGCGGCGGCGCCGCCGATCGCAGGGGATAGGCCACGCTGGAGGAGCCACCACTGCCACCGCTGCCGCCCGACTCCGAGCTGTGCGAGCTGAGCGAACTGGAGTGCCGCGACTCGGAGCTGGAGGTGCTGCGATTGCCCTCGCTGGTGCTGCTGCGCAGCGATTCCATGCTGCCGCCACTGCTCGAGGTGGCAATGCTCTCCGTGCTGCTGTAGTTGTGACCTCCGCCGGCGACCGTTTGCCCCGCACCCTGGCGATGATGGTGACTCCTTCGGCCATGGTGGTGGTGATGGTGCACTGATGTCAAAGAGATGGGAATAGTGTAAATAAATATCTCGCTGTTGAGTTCGACAATATATGATTTATATTTAAATATAATATAAAATCGTTATATTAACTAAAATGCATATTAAAAATATTCGATTTTAAATGGGTCCTACACAGTGCTCAGGTGTTGGTTAGATTCTGAATTAAAATAATATAAAAATAAAAAAATTAATTAAAAAAAAAAGGAAGTTGTAGCTATTGTGAAAACTTCAAACAAAAACATAGCTTTTTTTTAATGGAATAAATAATAATAATAATAATAATATACATACTTGTTGACTTTTAACAAGTTAAATTCAAAAACAAAAAAATTGGGACTTTTGGCAAGCAAATAAAATTTGTTATGGTTTTACTGTGGTAACATGGCCAAAATTAGACGTAATGGATGCAAATAAAAAAGCGACAAATATATATATATATTTAATATAAATTTAAAAGGTTTTTTTTACCAGTGTGGTGATGACCGCCCGGCTGCTGCTGCTGATGCTGGTACTGGTGGCTATGATGGTGGTGCCCGCCCTGGGCACTGCGCCGCAGCTCCAGCACTCTGCCCGATTCGAGGACAAAGGAGCGAGGCCGCCGCGGAGCAGAGACCACGGCTGCGGCCGATCCTGTCGTTGCCGATATCAGATCAGATCCAGCCGATCCGGCGGCCGAACCCGAGGCGGCATTCGAATGCGAATTCGAGTTGGTCGAGGGCGGATTCACGTAGGCGCTGTCGGTGAGACTGTTGTCATTGCTGCTGTTGTTGCCACCGCCACCGCACTGGTTTCGCATGGACTGAATGGGCAGGCGGAGATCACGGAGGCGCGGATGCGCCGGATTGGCGGCGGGCAGATTGGGTGCACTCCGTATGCTGTTCATGTTCAGGTAGCGTTCATGTTTGCCTGGGAATTTCATTGGCAACGGAGCTGTTGAGGGCGGCGACGGGGTATAGCCTCGCACCGGCAACTGCTGAGTGCTGGATGCACTTACTCCACTTCCTGGTGCACCAGCAATATCAGTAGCAGTGGCAGTGGCAGTAGCAGTAGCAGTACCAGTTGCCGCTCCCGACTGTCCCTGATTCTGATTCTGATTCTGCTGGTCCACCTGGCTGAGCTGCAATTTGCCCAGCTCCGACTGCACCTGATGCACCTGGACATGGGCCTCGCCCGTCTGCTCTTGCAGCGCCTGGTTCTTCGAGTTCTTGGCCCTTTTGCACTCTGCCCGCGTCTTGGCGGCTCCTCCGCCCACCAGTGAGTTGACCTTGGCAAGGTCACCGGCATTGCAATTGCCATTGCCATTGCCATTGCTCAACTGCAGCAACACGGAACAGTTGGTGATGCGATCCACCTCATCCAGATCGTCATCCGACTTGGCTATCTTGCAGTCGAAGGCCGTCTCATAGATCTGCCTTCGCCGGCTGCCCATGATGTCCTCGGAGTCGTCGTCCTCTTCTTCGTCCTCTTCTTCGTCCTCGTCACCGTCCACTTCGTCCTCGTCGTTGCCGTAGAGATCGAGCGTTGGATTGCTCAGCGTGGGCAGCGTTGGCGGTTGAGCAGTCTGGACTGACTGGACTGATTGGACTGATTTGACTGCTGACTGGACTGCTGACTGGACTGCTGGCTGGGCGCACTCGGCGCACTCGTGGACGCCATGCGGATGCACATAGAAGATGCTGCGCGGCCGGAAGTACTCCTCCTCCAGATCATCGCCGGGCTCGCTGCCCCGTCCGCCGGCCAAGGAGGAGGAGGAGGCAGGAGCGGATGTGATGCAGGCTCCGCACACGGCTGCTGGTCCCAGCAGGCGGTGCGGTGGCATCGGCTGGACCTGCACCTGCAAGCAAACGAAAATACGATTAATTGCCATTCGAAATTCACATTTAGCAAGTAAATACTTAATAAGCCATTTCAAATGGTGACTCAGTTAAATATTCAAAACACATATCTGCTCCATAACATCTTCTATTTACTAAGTAAACTTCAAATAGCCAATGGAAGTTTCTGTTTTATACAGAACTCTCTCTACTCTCACTGTTAGCTTGTAAGCTACAAACTAAAAAGTAGCAATAATTATTAATTATATATTAATATATAAATAATATATATAAAATATTTAATATATTCTAATAATTTTAAGAGCCAACTTTTGTTTGTGAGTCTATTTGGACAGCCTTAATAGAAATGGCGCCCAACGAGGGGCCTCTGATGCCGTAGAGTTTTTACTCTATCTTTTAGCTTGTAGTTTGAATTACCTGGATCTCCGCTGGAGCCGGTGGTGGTGGGCAGCACTTGAGCAGCTCGCCCTCGCCGGCGTCGCAATGCTGCAGCTGCAACTGAAGCTCGCTGCCAGTGGGATTCTGTCCCTGATTTTGACTCTGGTTCTGGTTCTGGTGCTGGTTCCTTGGCTGGACGTTGCAGGTTTTGCGGACTAAGGCCAAGGCGCGGGCGTGCCACTCGCGTCGCTTGAGGCACTCACTGCAATCGGACTCCTCGGAAGTGCTGGTGCTGGGCGTCTCGCAGCGGATGATGTGCACACCCTCCTCGGTGAAACTGTATCGCTTGGGCGTCGACTGCGAGTCCTGTCCCGTCCGGGGATCCTCCTCCTCGTGGCTCTCTGCTTCCGGCTGCTGCTGCTGCTGCTCCTCCGCCGGCGGCACATCCAAGCTGGAGCTCTTGCGGTAGCCACCCAACTGAGTGGGCGTTTGCTGCGGCGGTTCACTGGCCGTCGACTGGCGGCACTTGAGCTTAAAGTCCTCCCTGTCCTTATCGCGTTCCTTGTCCTTATCCTTGTCGCGACTCTTGAGCAGATCGGAGTAGTAGTAGGGCGAGGGCTGGCGCTTGTTGTGCTCCACTGGGGCGACGGTCAGTTTGCGCGGACTGCGCTGAAGTTGCGGTGGCAGCGGACGCACCAGGTCATCGGATATGGAGTCTGGGGAGTTGAGACCCGCCGCTGTCAGCGGAGCGGTCTGGGCTGGAGGCTGCGGCACGGGCAGCGGCTGCTGCTCAACCTCCTCGTCTATGTCCGCCTCGTCGTCGGAGGATTTCGGCGCCGAAGAGTCTGCAAATGGCCATGGAAAGGGTAAGTCTTTATTTTTAATTAGATGTTAGCAAATGAAACATTTTTAAAACCACTTGAAAATTATCAAATTGTGATTCAGTCAAATACTCATATTACATATATGTGCTCCTTACCATTTACTATTTAAAATTTGTAGCTTTAACTACGAAGTTAACTTAAAGTAGCTCAAACCATTTTTGATTTTTCTGAATTTATTGGTATTTTAAGTTTAGTGATAGTTCAACTTGTAAGCCCAAAATAATTTAATAACATTCGTTAGCGCTTAGAACTTTATGAGTCACTCAATATTATTATTATGTTATTTATTTAAAGCCCATCCATTCTCCGACAAGAAAAGTCTTAAAAATAGAAGGACAACGACTGGTTAATACTGAATAAAGTGTGTATTTTCTCCAGGCACTGAGACGGCGCTGACAGTTTCTAATTAAGTCGCTGCGACGACACTGCGACGCCGCGAGCCACGCAATCGGAACGCAAATGGAGTTGACGCAGTCTATTTGGCGCTTGGCTGCCCGCTGCTCCTTTATCTCCGCCCCCAACTGGATTGAAAGACGACTCTATCTTCCTGCAGTTTTATCCCCCCTATTTTGCAGCTCCTTAATCAGAGCCTGCCATTTTCCATTTTACGCTTGGATAATCGAGGCAGCCGCAGCGGGAAAAGTTGTGCCGCCTTCGGCTTTTCCTAATTGCAAGCCAATGAAAATCTTCGGACCATGCACGCCTAATGAACTTTAACTGAGCCTAATTAAATTATTGATTCAATTTACTTTAACTGTGTAAAAATATAATTCTCATTCTTTCTTTGTATGGTTTAGTATAATTTACTTTGTATTATGTATTGAACTTTTTACTTATATATATAATCTGACTTTCATTAGCCATTAAAGTGGCTTTCTTTACTTTCAATTTACTTTTACTGTGTAAAACTATCAATAATACTTCCTTCCTTTTAATAGTTTAGTATATTTTACTTTTACATAAATATATAATCACATTTTCATGTATTTGTTCTTTTGATTGAAATTCATTTGGCATTTATTTTAAAAATTGCATTTCAAAATTACATTTAAATGTTGCTACTGATTTAATTGGATTTATTTGCTATTTATTTGTTTACTGCTGCTGATTGCTAATTGCAGTTGATATTTTTTCCATTTGATAGCAAGAACATTGTATGTTGCTGCTGCAATTTTCACATTGCTGGCATACCTTAATTAAAATAATTATTTAAATTGTATGGAAAGGTACATTTTAAAGTACAAATAAACCTACTAAATTGTCTAAAAAGTTAAAATCTTCTATGGCATATTTTGTATGTCTAGTAATGCAATTTAAATTGCTGTTGTTTGGTTATAAAATTAAAATTGAATAAATGATGGATTTTCAAGAATCATTCACTTCGTTTGTGCTACTTATATTTTTTTTGTATTGCCTAAGTCCTTACTGATGTTGCTGTTTTTTAAATAAGGCTAATGTGCAATTTGTTTGACTTTTATCAGCAATATGCATTTAACTGACTTACCTGAATTATATTGGCTATTCCGTTTATCTTTTCTTAAGTTGCCGTTGTTGTTGTTGTAGGTGGAGTGTCGCTGATGCAATTGTTGTTGCTGCTGCTGTTGCTGTGAGCCTCTGGGCGTCGGCAATGTCTGTTGCTGCTGCTGCTGCTGATGCTGTTGCTGATGGCGCTTGTGGCCAGGAGCCGTGCGTTTCTTGGCCTTTTTGTGATAAACCTTTTTGTGATTACGCGTATCCTTTGGGTCTGAATATCCTTCGATCAACTTCACCGATGCCTGCTTGATGTTGCTATTTGGCAGCGGCGGATGTTGCAATGTTGCACGTTGCGGCTGATGATGATGTTGCTGTTGTGCCCCCACTGGCAATGTGTTGTTATTGTTGCTGTGCGTATTCTGTTGGCTGTGTGTGTTGCTGCCGTTGTTGTTGTTGTTGCTGCTACTGATGCTCAAATGCTGATGTTGCTGGTGGTTGGCCAAAATCGCAGCTGTTGCTGTTGCTGCTGCTGCTGCTGCTGTTGTTGCCGCCTGACTGGGCAATGTTGCAGCGGGGGCGGGCAGCGGGGGCGGTAGTTGAGGTGCTGTTCCCGCTGCTGCTGCTGATGTTGTTGCTGCTGTTGCTGCTGCTGTTGCTGCTTGTAGCTGCAACGCTTGTTGGGCTTCGCCAAATGGCAGCTAGTTTTACAAAGAAAAGAAAAGAAAAGAAAGGGTAGGGGCATTAGCATTTGTTAGCGACTAATTTGATTTGCATTGAAATTTCCAATTTGTTTGACATTTAATTGAAAGAATAAAGGAATGTGCGTGGCCAACTGGTTTGTGGCTTTTGTTGGGTTTCCCTGGTCAGTGGCAAACCACGAACCACTGCAAAAGTAAAAAACTTTTTTTTAGCCCCCCTTTTCATTCTATTTCGGTGGCGTATACGTAACATCTGTGGTCCTCACTGATTACTAATCGAAAATGTCTTTATTAATTTGAGGGTTTATTTGTTATATCTATTCAAGTTGGAAAGCAAATATATATTGATTCCAATTAGATGTTATATATCACATGTTTAGTAAATAAATTTATAAACAAATATATTCTTTGACAAGTTATTATGAAATTTAAATTACATTTTACTTTTTTAAAAATCCAAATGCAAAATGTTATCATAAATCTTTGAGCGGAATGCAAGCAAACAAATATGTACATGTCAATAAAATCTTGTTGTAGTTATTTAAATTAATAATCTATAGATTACAATCGGAAAAGAATAAAATGAAACATTTAAATAATTTATTAAATATTCGAGCATTGAAACCATTGACTTATTTTAATGTAATATAATTAACACTTTGGACACTCTTTATACTAAGCTAGCTATTATAGTAAAAACAAGTCAATAGATTAATTACTTAATTATTTCAGAAATGTCTTAAAGACATCCTATCCTTATAAGCTAATATATTAACTAGAAACTGGTGACCATCATGTTGTCAGCTAAAGCAAACAAAGCAAGACAGCCATATTCCCCTCAATTTGACACGATTCATCTGCCATTTGTCTGGATATATTTGCCCGCATGATGGATGGATTTCAATTGCCATTTCTCCAGTTCTCAGTCGCCATTCCCAGTTTGTTCATAACAATGCCATGTCAATCACAATATCCGTTCCTTCTGCTTTGCGGACCAAGTGCCCTCTCAGTGCGATGTACGATGTACGATGTACGATGTTCGCTGAGTTTCACAAATAAGCTGGACATTACGGATGAACTGCAACAGCGGTTACAGGATTAACAGGATCCTAATGCGTGCAAATTATGAGGCTCGACCACCTCTGTGTAAGCCCCCTTCCCAAATTCCGTTCCTGGCCATTATGTTAAACATAAATTTCCGTTTACATGTGGCCCATGTCCATGAGTATCCTGGTTGCTAAAGGAAATTGATGTTTGGCCACTGGCGGAAACGGGGCTGACAACTCTGCCCCAGGGTTGTCATTGTCTGGCAACCAGATGAAACTGCAGTTGCACTCGGGGCAAGAACATTTTTAATTGAAACTCATAAATTAAGAGTGAAGTGGGTGGGTGGCGGTTAGCTGAAGCCGAAGCTGAATCAAAAACATTTTTAATGAATTTGAACTTGATACCGAGTGCTGCTTACCCCCGCTACTTTACTATATATTTCATTGCATACGAAGTCCCTGAACAAAAAAAGGGGGTTTCCAAGGCAGATGGATAATGGGGTTGTGTGAAGCTGGATGCTGGATGCTGGATACTGGATGCTCGATGCTGGATGGAGCGAAGGAAAGGGGGTTCAGTGAAGCCATCCATTCACATATTCCTGTTTAAATATTTGCCTTTGATTATCCACAAACGATATAAGCAGACATTTATGTGTACACCCCCATACATATGCACACGTTTAGTATATGTTTCTCATGCACGATTGCCCCGCACAAATCGGCGAGGAATGGGGAAAGGCGGTTGCCACAATAATGAAAACTGTTGGCATCCATTCCATCCATCCTTCAATTCCGACTCCACCTTGTCTGCTCCTGTTGCCGCAGCAACGTGATTTTTTGTGCCAACTTTAATGAAAAAAGAAATCAACGGAAAGGAAGGAGCTTGGGTGGACTGTCTGTCTATCTCACATCTTTACCATTCCCATTGTTTAGAGACTAATTCCGATGACGAGCTATGTTAGCCGGTTGAACATCCCTTCCTTACCCATTTAACCCACACAAGAATTCACGAGAAATCTGCACTGGAAAAACAATAAAAACAACTCAAAATTGGTATGTAAATTAGTAAATCAAAATAAAATAAACACTTTAAAAATGGTACTTAAGAAAATAAGAAATTGAACTTAAAAAACCATATAACGTAATCATTATAAGTTTTATTTTAAAGATTTTTTATAAATGCATTTTAACTCTTGAAATTTTGATGAGTTCTGTTTATAGTTTCTTATAGCTAAGCCCATGAAAATTGTAAAATGTGGCTACTACTCCAGGACGTATGATGCTCTATGTTTATGCTATGGAATTCAATCCCTCAAGCGAAGACAACAAGGCGGATGAGTGATATCTAAGCTGACGCTGGTGTCTTCGTTTCAGTTGACTGCTTTTCATTTCACTGACTGTGCGAGGAAGTGGAGAAAAAAGAATATATATATATATATATATATATGTGGCATAAAATAAACCATAGCCAAGTTATTGAAATAAACAAAAAGCACGCACACATGCACACAAACGTGTCCTGACTGCGGCCTTTTGTGTTTTTGTGAGTTATCGTTGCATATTACTCCACGGAGAGTAATAGCAACAAATGCAAAAGCCAAACGAATTTCATCCCATTCCCGACATTTCGCTCCCGTTTTACAGACTCCACTTCCACTTCACAGCCAGACGCTCCACATATATCGAAAAATGTCGCGTTGGCTCGTTTCCATTAAAACGTGAGTTGCCACCGAAAAAAATGAATCAACAATGGCCAAAACACACACACACACACACACACATGGCTGGTGAAAGCTATTATGGCATCATCACATAGATGTTGCTTACACTATAAATTAAAAAAAAGTCTTAAAATAAATAAGAAAAACATATTTTAAAGTATAAAAAGTGTGGAAAAGGTTTTCTAAGACTATGATAAACTATGATAATCATTTATCTTACTGAATTTATTACACAAATAAATGTATTATATTGGAAAATAAATAAAAGTTTAAAAGGTTTAAGCAACTTTGTAATATTCAGAGTCATTTTTATTCTATGTGTAACTTTCTTTCTGCCTCTGCCTCTTTCCAATCCTTGTCTCTTTTTCTCCAATGTTTATGGCACACAAAAGTCATAAGATAAAATTACATTAATAATTGTGAGGAGGCCCACACGCATACAAAAACACTCACACATATTAATATGCAGCATGAAAAGCTCAGAACGAAAGCGAGAAATACACAATGATAGAAAGGGATGGCCATAAGAAAAAACGAGCATCGAAAGGCGCTAAACGTTATCGCTTTGGGCCATTTGCTGCCTGAATTTTTTTTTATGGGTGGAGATCGGACAGCGAGGATTATGTGTATGTAAAAAACAGCAAAAGATAAATTAGGGAAAATTAGGGAAATGGAGAGCAAAAGACTTGTATTCAAAACGGATATGAGCATCATATTAGCTGGAATCTTTTTATACTCTTTACTATGTATTAAAAACTTAAGTTTGAATAAAAATATTAATGTATTTTGATTGTACATTTGTTTTGTTTTCTAAGTACTTTTTTAATATCTTAAAATATGTAACTTCAGATTAAAGATTTTTAAATACAAAACTGAGAGTTAATAAGGTAAATAGCACTTGATTTTTAAGCACTCTTTTGATAAATGATAAAAAAGCTAAATATGAAGAGCAAAACAATTGAATCAAATCAATGAGCTAATTATAAGCAATAAGTTAAGCAGGGTGCTCAATTCCAGTCCAAAGAATATTTCAGTAAAGATTATTAATCCTTGAAATAGCATTTACACCAATTGATTGCTTCGAGAGCAAACATTTGTTGTTTTTTTAGCTTATGGTCCTCCTTTTGCCTCTGCTTTCTTAAAGACTGAATCCTTGGCACTGATTTAGCCACTACACTACACTCCCTCGAAATTGTATCAATTGAAGGTCGTTGCCGCAAATCTTATTTCGCATTGCCCCCCAACCATTTGCCATTCGACTTTCGCCATTCGCCATTCGCCTTTGGCAGCACATCGCATTCCTCATAGCCGGGGCAAAAAAAATTTCAATAAAATGAATTTCAAGTGGCAGGGGATGCTCCTTGCTCCTTGATGCTGTTGTTTCGCTTTCGAAAACTCTGTTTTATGTGTGCGCCTCATGGGGCTTTCCTTTTCATTTTTAGTGGCAATATGCAAAAGGGAACAAAACACGAAATATTTCCGTATGGACCATAAAAAAGCGACGCATCCCCCTTGGGTTTTTTTTCCGGGGGTTTGAGGTTGGGCGAATTTCCAGAGGTCGGAGGCTCGGCGATTTTTTGGTTTTTGGGGCATCATTTGATTTGTGGCACGGCGCACTTGCTGCAGCCTGAGGTTATCACTCGCTCTATCTCAGCGGCTTTTCTATACTCGCCTCCTCCTCCTGTTTTTTCCTCAGTGTTGCCAAGTTTAGATGGCAAAAATAAGCTAAGTCTACAGTTCTGCTTGATAAAATAGAAATTCTTAAAGTTTTTAGCATTCTACAAATTTTTTTAAAATATCCGAAAAAATGAACATGTACTTTTTCAACTCGTGTTAGTACTTACTTTCATTATTTTAAATTCTACCATGAAAGGTTCATAAAAATAACTTTTTTTAAGAAGTATTTTGTTGATCTATCCAACGGACTGGAAAAATATCAAAAATAATTGTGATAAGAGACTACGAAATTTATAATATGTGTTAAAAAATCTCTTTGAACTCGTTTAATTATTTCCTTAATTTCGGTTTTTAGTAATAGTATTAATAATTTTGTGAAAACTCTCTTTTTTAAGCAGTTGAACAGTTAAACAAATAAAAAGGATATTTTTAAAGGACTTTTAAAATTGATTGACATAATTGTGATCGCAGTATAAAAAAATTTATAATTTCCAGAAGTTGTTTTGATTTTCATATATCACCTTTAAGTGCGGCTAAAAAACATCCAATTTGGCAGCAAAGTATGGCTATTTTCCTATCTCTGTGTCCATTTTTTATGGCCAGCCACCGCCCGTTGGGCAGCTTTGTTTGTTTGTCGTTTTGCCCCATACTCGCCCCCCTTTTGTTTGTTTCGCTTATTTTTCGCCTTTTGCCTTGGCTTTTCTCTATTATTTTTTCTTATTTTGTTTTGTATACTTTTTTCTTTTTTTTTGCAATATTTAGCCAATAGTCCGTGCATTGTTTGAGCAGCGCTTTGTGTGTTTGCCTGCCGCTGCAGGATAAGCAAAAATCAGGGGCAAGGGGAAGCAGAAAATGGGAAATGGGAAATGGGAAAAGGGAGAGCTTTTCATTAACGCACTGCTGATGCGGCTGACGTTGATGCGACTTGTCCAAATTCCCATTCCACCATTCGATTCGCTGGAGCGTGCAGTTTATCAATTAGCTGTCCAGAGCAGTTAATTGCCCCACCAATAACCCACCAACCACCCAGGAAAACCCACTTAACGACCAAGGACTTACAAACTCGGTTTGCGGACTGGGGGCAATCCAGTGCTCGGGATTCGCTGGTATCGCCTCCGCCAGGCACGGATCGAAGCTGGACGGTCGTTTTTTAACAAAGTCTACGGGCAGGCTGTAATCATCACAGATGGCAATCTGGAATGGTACGACAAAGAGGGAAAAGCGCAATTAGTACGAGATAAAAGATAGAATAAGGCCCCCACAATATGCTAAAACTAACTTTCGCTATGTGTTGCTAAAAATATAAATTAGCATGTCTCATAAAGTCAAGGTTTTAGTCCTAAGTTTATTAAGCTTACATATACAACTATTTTAAAACCCCTTTTCATTGTTGTAGTTTTAGGTTAAATAAGCTTAAATTAATAATTAGTTTGAAAAGACCTCAAATTGCTTATATAAAATGTAATTTTTAAATATTAATAATTTACAGTTGTAGCCTTTACCTTCCACAAAGCCCTCAAATTGACAAGCAAACAAAAGCGCTATATATAGATCAATTTCTTGGCTTTTTCTAAAATCTTAAAATACATTTTTGATGGGTTACGCCTCTGCACATATACACATACCCTTGAACTGAATGAAAGGCGGTTATTATTAAACAAAAAAAAAAAAAAAGTGAATGCAAATGCCAGCGGGAGAAAAACAATAACGAACGCCACGACACGTGCACCTCAAGTGTTTGGACCTACTCCCCCCTTTTCTTTTTATACCCTTGCAGAGGGTATTATAATTTCAGTCAGAAGTTTGCAACGCAGTGAAGGAGACATCTCCGACCCTATAAAGTATATATATTCTTGATCAGCATCACTAGGCGAGTCGATCTAGCCATGTCCGTCTGTCCGTCTGTCCGTCTGTCCGTCTGTCCGTCTGTCCGTCCGTTTATATGCAAACTAGTCTCTCAGTTTTAAAGCTATCTGCATGAAACTTTCCCAAAAGTTGTCTTTCTATTGCAGGTAGTATATAAGTCGGAACGAGCCGGATCGGACGACTATAGCATATAGCTCCCATAGGAACAATCGGAAAAATAAATGAAAAAAAATTATAGCTTTGCTGTTTTTTAATTTTTTGTTTAGTTCTTCGACATATAGCAATGGTTAAATATTTCAGAATTATGGTTTAAATTTCATCAAAATCGGACGACTATAGCATATAGCTCCCATAGGAACAATCGGAAAAATAATTGAAAAAAAATTATAACTTTGCTGTTTTTTAATTTTTTGTTTTGTTCTTCGCCATAAAGCAATGGTTAAATATTTCAGAATTATGGTAAAAATTTCATCAAAATCGGACGACTATAGCATATAGCTCCCATAGGAACAATCGGAAAAATAAATGAAAAAAAATTATAACTTTTCTGTTTTTTAATTTTTTGTTTAGTTCTTCGACATTTAGTAATGGTTAAATATTTTCGATTTACGGTTTAAATTTCATCAAAGTCGGACGATTATATCATATAGCTCCCATAGGAACAATAAAAATATATAAAATAACTATCAAATAATTGAGCTGCAAATCATCATAGCTTCAATGTTTTTAAACTTATACGCAAGTAAATTATAATTTTAATGTTTTCAAAAATGTTTAATTCTTGCAATAGCTGCAAGGGTATATGAACTTCGGCTTGCCGAAGTTTGCTTTCTTTCTTGTTTTATTTTTATTTTCGCCCCACTTTCCACCCCACTTTCCACCCACACACCCAAAATGCAGACTCTTGCCATTTGGCTGAACGTCTGCGTCATCAAAAGTGTACAACAATGGCTAAATTACAGTTACAATTAAAAATGGCGACGATGCCTTTCCTTTCAAGCTGGTTCCCTTCTTTTGTTGTCCTTTCCACTACACATTTTCCAGCAGGTAAGGATTCTGGTCCAGATGATGCAAATGTACAAGGCTTTGTTGCACATGAAGCCAAAGGAAAAGTCTTGAGTATTGCAATTAACGTTAAGTGGTGGAGGAGGAAAGCTATACTGCTATGCTGCCATATAGCTATATAGTGTACTGAGCAGGAAGATAAGGAAGAGAGGCGGCAGAGGCAGCTTAGCGGCTGATGGAAACGAATCGCGATAGATTAAAGCTGGCAACAAATTACCGGCTTTAGCCAAACTTATTTTGGTTAATCTACAGCATTCTCCTTAAAAGTTCATTAAATGCAGCAAGTGGCTAAGAACTTGATAGGGTGTTAAAACACACAGCAAAGTTATTGCCTTGAGTCTTACACTTTCGGAATTCATCTTGATCAAGGTAAGTTTCAAGTACAGATGAGTACAGTTAAGAATTTGGAGTACAGCTTAAGCTTATAATTAAAGCATCATTATTATAATTACTTTATGTTAACTTACTTAAGTAGTTTTTAAAGTTCAATTTATTTAAATGTATGCTGAGTAAAATAATCTTTAATTTAGACTTGATGATTTATATATTTATTTTTATATTAGTATTTTCATTTCATTTTTTTTTGTTTATTTTTTTTTATATAACTATACTTTCTAAAGTACAGTTGTCCGATTTCTGGTGAATTTCAAATTAGTAGTTTAATTAAGTTAAATGTTTACTAAGTAAATTAATCTTTAATTTAGATTTGACCACACTTTTATTCTTATTTTTTTTTCCACTTTATACTTTCTAAAATTTTAGTTGCTCCTATTACCATTTGTTGTATCACAAGACAAGTACAGTTGCCGACAAAAGCAAAGTAAATCCTACGTTTAAACGACCCCAAGCTGTTGCCCATTGAACTAACTTCTTGAACTAACAACTAATTGTGTTACCACCTGCGTTTAAGCTACCTGTTTTTAATGCTCTCAAGATTGTCTTATCTCCCATAGGGCAATCAAAAAAGAAAACATAATTTAATTGCTTGCTGGTGGGGGGTTGGGGGGTTGTGCACTTGGCACAAGGTCACAGAGCGAACAAAACAGACACACGCCACTGAATTCAATCAGAGAAGAAAGTTTCCGGGTTAGCCAAGCGAATGCGCCGTAAATCCCAGGACTACTGACTCAAGACCAGAGCACCTGTGCATCTGTGTGGCCTGTCGAGCTTCACTTAGTATAGCTTATAGCTACCTCGAAGTACACTTGCAGGCGATAAAGTTGACGACAAGTGCGGCAATACCATTCCAGACCGGAAAAGTAAACGCCGCCGCCGTTGGCCAGGACGTGCGCCAGATCCCTGGTGACATTCCTGCTGACATCGCCATCTCCATCGACATCGAGGCAATCGCGGTGGAAGCTATGGCCGCAGGGACCCGCGCACTCCACCACCGGCTCACCGACATTAAAATCAATCCAGCAGAGACGACAGAACATGTTGCCAATCGACGACGACGACAACGTCGACAACACTTAAGAAAATTACCAAAAAAAAAAAAAATGAAAATATACGGATACCGAAAACGAAAGCGAACGTCTCAGGTGTTGACTTGCGAACGCCGTACAGCGAAATGAAATAAACTTAACTCAACTCAACTCAGCTCAGCTCAGCTAAACGGAGGAGCACTGGTTGAATTGTGGACCAGTCGCTCTGTCCAACTTTTGTGCACATATGTCTCGGGGCCATAATGTGCAATTGAAAGGCCAATGCAGGAGGAGGAAAGCCCTAGTTATGGTTCTAGTCCGGCGTGTGCACCCTTTATAAGTCAAACTTTCGAGGTGTTAACATCGTCTGACATGGGTCAGTTGGTCCACGGAATATAAGCCACTGGGTGCATTCATTGGCCAATTGGTTGGGAAAGTTTAGATGGTATTTAAAAATCATAACGATATACTTTTATTAATTCTTTTTAAGAAACCACACTAATATACTGTCTAGAATTTGCATGCAGTTAATGAAAAAGTATTATGCTTGAAAAAACGACACCTTTACAACACTGGTACATGCCAAATGAGGCCACTTTAAATATTTCTCAACACAGTTCGAAACTGTTTGAGATTATCAGCCATAGATATTTAGTCTCAATTTTAGTCATCAATTATTATTAATTAAGCTTGAAAAAACAACACCTTTTATCACTGGTACAATTAAAAAAAACCTTTAACATCTATTATTATTTGTCAATAAAAATATTGAAACTTAATAACAAAACCTTTACAACACTGGTACAGCGAGGTGACTTTAATCATTATATAATAGCATATTTTTCAAATAGGTTGTTGTTAATGAAACTGTTCTTACTACAATGTTTTAAGATAGTTATTGAAAAATAAAACGATTTCGTGCAGTGAATATTCCCTATTAACATCTTAACATCTTCAAGGCAAGCATGAATGCCACCCAGTTAAATTCACTTTATAATAAACCCTTGAAGGAACCCACAAATAAAAAAAAAACACTGTCCTGTGAGTGCTGGCAAAGCCACAGATTGGCTGCCCCTGCCCCATCCATATCCATCCGTTTTTCTGCAGTGAAAGTTGAGTGGCTCCGTCTTGGAGGAAAGAGCTGTATAGCAGCAACCACAAAAGCCAACGATGACTCATTGGCTTGGCCAACGTCGTCGTGATTGCCACTTTGGCTCACGGCTCACGGGTCTTTGAGCCAAATGCAAAATGCGAAATGCAAAATGTAAGCCCACCCACTGCAGCTGGGAATGGAAGTGGGAATGGTGGTCGTCTTTGCCACTGTCTGGTTGAGTAAATATCATAAATTTTAAAGGCGGCATTAATGCGCTCGTTCCGCACAAGAGTTGCAGGTACAGCAAGCGAAATTGCTGCAAGGCTGCCAGCCAGTTTCGGTGTCGCCTCGTCTTATTTCCTTTTTCCTCTTTTTTTTCCCTTTTTCCTTTTTCCCGCATAACCGCAGGCACTTTGGCACTGCGCCCACTGCAACTAAAGTCCTGGCCACATGTTGCCCTTGTCTCCAACGAAACTGGCTTTTGTGTGACACATTTTGGCCGCGCAGGAAATGATGGCTCTTCGTTCTTAGGGGTCTCCCAATGCCTCTATTCAACTGGCATATTGCGGAGATTGCGTTGCCACAAACAGAAATCTTGTGCATCTTGTGGCACTCTTTGTCCCCTATGTGCTGGCTTTGATTTTTATTAAAATGGCACCGACAGGTAACAAAAGTGGTTGTGGGTGCCTTTGCCTCTGCCTCTGCCTCTGCCTCATATGCATTGGCATTCTGTGTCCATATTGCTC